CAAAACCTTGTTTCATGGCAAGTGAGAATAAGTAGCATGGAGTCAGCTGTCATGGTTTAAAAGATATCCACGATGTAGCTGTTCCATTAAAATTTGGATTAAAATCATGTTTAAATTTCATTTCCTCCAGTCCTTATCCTGCTTTTGATTAGTTTTAAGAGCAGTTGATGGTCTTGTGATTTGAAGATTTTGCATTTTAAATTTTGTGTACATGGTCTGGAATTTTATGTGAAATTGTGGGTTTGATCTTTGACCTCTGTTTACTACAGTCCTGATTTGCCACTAATTTGATAGCAAGCCATAAGGGCCTACTGTAAACAAGCTGCTCACTTTACATAGCTATGTTTGGCTCCTAAATGAAGAAGTATGTATGGAATATACTTTGGGTACTGTAGCCTCCTAAAGAAATAATAAAAAACACATCACTGCTTAGCTCTCCAGGTAACGTTTACATTTGGAGAAAATAAGTTGCATGCCTAATAGAGAGAGAAAATGCAGTTCTTATACATCTTAGGTTTGTTTGTTTTAAATTGTTCTTTAAAGTATTTGAGTGCTCAGGCCATGTCTTTTGAAGTCAGTGGGAACTTTGCCATTGATTTTAAAAGGATCAGGATTAAGCCTAAATTGGTAGGGTTTAAAAGGCAAAAATGAAAATGTCTAAAGTCTACAAATCTCCCACTGATCCACCATCCAGAAAGGAAGGACAAAAGCCTTCTCCAAGGTCTGTAATGTACATCTTGATTCCAGGACTCCTGTTTTTCGTACATTTGTAGACTTCAGGATGGAAAGTAACTTCCAGTAATTGAGAACATCTGGAGTGGGACATACTCACACTGTGGACTTGTAAAGGTGCTGGGGATGAAAGATGCTTGTAAAAATCGGTGGACTCTCTGCCCACATTTTACTGAAGATGTCCTACGCTAACACTGCACCATGTACCTGCACTGGGCAGATACCCCAGCTCACAGGCTCAGGTCTCCAGGTACCACCTTACACACACTAACTGACCCAGCAAAAACCTTCTGGTGGACAATTGACTCAGAAACATTTCTGATTATCCTGAACAAGTTTAATACATTTTCTGCTGATAGCCATGTCCTCTGAGAGCAGGTCAAAGCCAAGGGCTAGACTTTCTCCTTTTTTACCCAGCTGAGACCACCCATCCCAGAAGTGAACTTCCCATCATTAGGGCTCTGTCTTCACAGTGGAGAGCGGATGGGTGTAGGAACACCGACGTACCCTGGAGGAAGGGCTGCTTTCCTATTTGACAGAGGAAGAAACCATAAGCTCTATCATTTTCTGGCTTAAGGAGTCTTTGTAGCTATGACCAAAACCCAACAGTGAAGGATGTGTTCTCTTTTTAGCTAAGAATGTAGTTCATCTACAGTGATGAAGTGTAAGCTTTCTTGCAAAAGCTCTTCAGACACCCAAGTGCACTGCGTGCCTGAAATGACCCAGGTGTCAGGTCAAGTTAGCCATGGATGACCGAAAGAGCCTAAGGCAACCAGAGGTAGGAAACCGAAGCATGATGGCCCTGTTGGTTCATGTGGTCCCAGTATCAGACAAGCCAAAGTTCTGGGAGATGCAGGAATCAAGACCTCCCCAGATCGCCTGGACTTGAGGTCAACAAAGTAACCACTGCAGTCTGACTAGCCTTGTGACCCAACAGGGTAACACCATCTTCTGGTAACAGAGACCCATGGTTGGCCAAGGAATATCAGGTAGAAATACAGCATCCAAGGAAGCAAAGTCGTGCAACTAAAACCCACAACAGTCTCTTGCACTTAGAAGTGCTCATTGCTCGGAAGTAACCCAAGTGGTTGGTGAGAGTCAACAGAGAAATTGAATGTCATTTCCCAGGCTGTGCAACCCTTTCTCTCCTACCCCAAAATGACTGGCAACAGAATGGGAGCTGTCAAAGACTGCCGTCCTGCACATGGCTGGGTTTAAAAATCCTTGAGTTTGTGTAGCAATGCTACCAACTCAGGCAGCATCTATTCCATCTTCACAGGTCTGCTGTGGAGAGAGCCGGTGAAAGTTGTGGTTCAGTCCTGGCTTGATTTGATGCAGATTAGTCACCACCCAGACACAAACCTGTACTGCTCTTTGCCTTTGCCTGGGGTAAAGACAGAGACAGCAATAGCAAGCCAGGCCACCTTTCTAAAGATATTTTCCCTGAGGTATTTCTTGAGTTACCCCAAATTCCCCACAAAATCAGGACAAAACCTGAAGATACACATGCAGGAGATCACACATGGTGCATTATCCCTGGTGCTATGACCCTGTCTCACTCCAAGGCCAGATCACGGCTGTGCTGTCTTGTTAACATATTGTGGAGCCCACTGAAACCAACTCATATTTTTTGTGTGTGGCATCGAAGTGGCTCTAGTTTATTCTAGCTGCTCACCTGGCAGAGGAGACACCTGCATGGAAGGACTCTCAAAGAGAATTCAACTCTGAGCAGAAGCTTGGAGCACAGCTGAGCTCTACTGAAGGCTGGAAATGATGCTCTCAGTCACAACATCCCACAGATCCTGTCTTCTGCTTCCACCCCATGCAACATTTCCTCAGACTACCTTGAGCATTGGTTCCAAGGGATTTAAGACCTTTATGCCCATCACTTCAGTATCACTTGCAGCCTGAAATCTGCAATGCACAAGTACAGGGACCTATGCACATACTGAGTTGGTTTTACTAATGGACGGTTGTAACTGAGCAGAAATAGCTTCTAAAATGCTGTTTACTTTCCTATTAGGGCTGGCTTAAAACGTAAAGAAAGGTTGAATTCATCTGAGTAACTTTGAGCTCTTATATATGCAAGACAATCTGAGATTTTAATAAATAAAGCATGCCATAAGGGCCCCTGGAGTGTTTAGACAGAGTGGGCATGTCTGGACCCAGTGCAGAACAGCGATCCATCACTGCTAGATCAATTTCAAAAGCAATTCAACAAGGGCTCCACGTAGACAGCATTACAGAAAACCTGTTCCAATAGCTTTCTTATGCAAGAGAAAACCACAGTCACATTTGTATTTTAGGCAGCGACCCAACGAGAATGAAGCAAAACAACGAAAACTATCCCCAAGAGATATTTTGGGCTGCTCCCTTCCTCCCACTCCCCTCGGATTCCTTTTCGATCTCTTACCAGTTTGTGCATTTTTTGGCAGTGGAGGACCATACTGCATAGGTCACTGCCAGCCTGGTGGGGACCACTGTGGCTCGTGGCCATCAGAGAAGGTTTCAGACCCTGGCCTGGGGAAGTGCCAGCCTCTTTTCTCCCCATTTCATGCTGGAGCAGATGTGACTGTAGGTGATGGAGGAATGGGAGAGCTTTCCTCAGACCAGCAACCTTTGACAACCAGTTGCTGCTTTTCCTCCTCTCCCCAGGATCTGCTATCCAACAAGTGCAAATTGAGGATGACAAATAAGAACATTAGCCTGGTGTTTCTGCTAAAATGATCCGCCTTGAAGTAGCTGATGTTGACACTTAAATTGTCAGCAGACTTCCAGTTTAGCGCTCCAGTTAGAAGAATGGGTCCATTCACACTTCCCTCTGAGCTATTGTTTCAACTCTCTCTAGACTGGGCAAATATCACTGCGGCAGTTTACACTCCAGTTCCACTTTAAAGATTTTTTTTTAGATTTTTTTTTGCAACCATAACCCAAATTGCCTAGAAACTTTTTTTTTTTTAAATGTAAGCTTAGACTCCAGAGAATAATTACGCAACACTGTAAAAATAGTCTGCAGCAATTTACATAGCCATGAAATATTGGAGCTTTTTTTTTTTTTTTTTCAGTATACCTATGTATATGTGGCTTCAGCTAGCTCCAGTATTTACAGAGGACTCACTGGAGTTGTGATCAGAGAAACTGGTACTTCAAGTTGGACCACACACACGAACAAAACATTTCTTGTTATAAGGCAAAGTTTCCTATTTTGGGGTGTTATATCATCATCTGACTGAAGATGACTGACCTTGCCACCTCAGCCTCTCCCATATCCCAGTTCACCTCTGGCTGAATCCAAATAACATCCCTGTAGCTAACACAGGTATTGTTTATATAGCAAAGCAGGAGAGCGTTGATTTAACTTCAGTTTCTTTCCTGTAATTACATGTTCCTTCCATTTTCAAATAAATTAATCATACTGAGAGTCTGTATCCTCATTTGTCTCTCTGCAGTCAACTTTGCTGCTGCTTATGTCCATTAGGTATAATACCTCCTTGTCTGCTGGAAGCTCACTCCCCAGCCTCCTCTGCTGCTTGCTGTCTTGTTCTCTTCTCTCCTCATGCATCTCGCTGATGGTAGGACCATCAGGCACACTGGAACCAAGAATCAATCCAATTTCTTCTACCTAACAGCAGGACAAAACTGTCTGCTGTAGCAGGTGGTACAAGAACTGCCCCCCAAGCCTCGTCTCTTACAGAAATTTTCAGGGCTTTGGACATTTTCAAGTCCAGCTGACCAACATCCCAGTGCTTCAGATAGAAGGTAGAGGATCACATGAGCTCTCTAGATAAACAAGAAGTTATCCTGTCCAGAGCCTGAAGATGTGATGGCTTAATTTTTGCTTTCTGTGTTTCTTTAGAAGCCCATTTCTGTCCCCCAGTGTAACTCAGCCAAGCTCCTATCTGACTAGCTCCTAATCTCCCATTTAAGGAGCTTTTCTGGTTGTTTTCCTCAGGAGAGCTTAAGTGATTAAATCAAAACTAACTGAATGAATGGATAAAGCCACAGATTGAAAACAAACCCATTGCCTGAAATCTCTGCAAAGAAGCTATTCAGGAAATGTCTACGAGCAAAGAATGCATGACAGAAATAAGAATTTATGCAAGTGACTATATGAATATGGAAACAACAACTTCCAGCTCTGGTAAGCTATCTGTGAGGAGTGAACAATTTGGTCATGAAATTTAGGCATTGATTTGAAGGAGTTAAATTCCCAGGCTGCCTTTTAAGAGCAGGGTGGGGCATTGGGGAAGTCAGAGAGGGAGGAAAATAAATAAAATAAATTAAAAAAAAAAAAGAAAAAAGGCACCTGAATGCCCTGGGAAGGAGCAGCAAAACCTGCTGACCAATTCCCCTTCCTCTCCTACGCACCCTGATGTAAATCTTCCCCAGCTGAGGGTCTCCTGTTGCCCTCGGTCACGCTGCGTGCCCCTGGGTGCAGGGTGACCCACAGGCACAGCCTTACCCACACCAGGAAGCGAGTGCCACGTCCTCGTCCTGCTCGCCTCTGCTGCCGGCCACCTGTCCCCGCTGGCGTGACAGGGGGCTGAGGGCAGGGACATGGGCATCCTCCCCGTTTCGGAGCAAAATGTGTTCTTTGAGGGGCCCCTCTCCGGCCCCTGGTACAGCAAGCACAAGGTAAGTGCCCTGCAGCACCAGGAGGAACAAGTGGGCTCAGGGAGAGCAGGGAAATCATTTCAGCTTCTCCCCACAGTCCTCTGAAGAGCCCCTCCCAGCACCCCTTTGCTGCTGGCACCTGCTCCTTCTTCATCCCAGGCCTCCTTGGCTTCCCCCTGCAAACAGCCATGTCCGAGCACTGACAGGGCCGGGAGCTGTGCTGCTCTGTGCTACAGCATCTCTGGTGTCTGCCAGCAGCGTTTCTGTAGTTGTCAGTGCTGACAATGTATTTGGTATTTGGGCGATGGCAAAGCAGAGACTGAAGCAGCCTCCGAGAACTAGCAAGTTGAAGCATCTGCTAACAATAAAAATGAATTGGAGGCTGATTAAACCCTTTACCTCTTCCCTGCTTTTTTTGCTTCACAAAGTAGGAGGCATGGCAGGATACTCAACATTCTTGTTCTCTGCAGCACAAGAAGCAAACCACTTTTTTATGATGCAAAGTATTGGCATAAATTGTGCATAAAATGGCTTGCGAGTAACTGCTCTCCTTTCTCTGCGAGCAGCCCAGTAGCAGGTCATAACTCAGGGAGGGTCCCCAAAACCTTCCCCTCTGGACTCTGCATGTGCTACTGGCAGGATATCCAGGTGGCAGGAGGCATTTCTCAGCCTCAGAGGAAAGGAAAACTGAATTCCTGTGCCTAAGCCCCTGGAGCTGCAGCACTCCTGCCTGATGGCTGATGGGGATGCTTCTGGGAACCAGAGCTCTTATGGAGGCAAGAATTAGAGCCAGGGGGTTAGTGAAGGTTTGAGAATTAGGGCCCTGTGTCTGGGAGTGCTTGCAGAGCTGATGGGGAGCCTGGTGACGTGGGTCCCTTGTCATTGAGACACCTTCCTGCACATAAAGATGGGGTTATAGCTTTTCTTGCAAAACATCCTAGCCCTGCTCTGCATTTTGGGATGATTGAGTGAGGATTGCTACTTTTAAAGCATAGTAGTTTTCTGGTTCTGGTTTTCTGTGCTTCCATTTACTTGCAGAATTGAGGTTTTGGAGTAGGCAAAGGGTAACTGCAGGCCGTATATTGCTGCCAACCTTTATCTTCCCAAGAGTTAGCTTCTTCTCTGCACTCTCATTTTCACATTTTATGTATTTGGATATATCAGAAACCATTTCTTTCCTCCGCTCCTAGCAAATGGACTGTCCTGGCTGTGTTTGTGGTTTGAGCCCAGTTTCAGGTCTGCAGGTAGAGGCTCTCTGTGTCCTTTCCCCTGTTCCTGTGGCTGTTTTGTCCACTTGGTTTGGTTTTGAAGGGGAGCTGTTTGTTTTCTGTGCCATGTGGACATCAGGAACATCCACGCGGGCCTAGCAGTTCTAACACGTTAGGGAAGTCCATGGCACTACAGTCAGCCCTAAATGATGGCTGTAAACATGCAGCTCCCTGGAAGAAGCTAAAGAGCCTGTGTTCATGTGACTGTGCAGTTTAATGTCTGCTTGTGCTGGCATTACTTTTTATTTATCATCATGGTTATTCTCCTGTCATATCCCTGATCAAGCCTATTGATCCTAGCTGTTGGCACAAGGTTAGCAGGGGGAATGTGTGGTCATGAGGCAAAGGTTGGAGGTGGGATTTCTCCTTAGCATCAGTATGGGCGATGCTTGTCTGATGCTATTCAAAGCTCAGCTCTGACAGCCTTCCCTGCCTCAGCCCCGTATTGTGTGCTGTGAAGCATAGACGTGTTTAATGATGTAGTAAAACCTGATGAAATATGTACTTAGTTACCTGAAGTATTTCCTGACAAACTAATATTACTGTAATATCTCGAGTCTGCTGGAGTAATGAACATAAGAAGCCACCACATGTGGATTTGTTCTGCTTAACATAAAGTGTGTGTAATTGCTTCAGTTTAATCCTTTTTTTATTTCCCTCGGCACTTCTCAAATATTGTTTATTTATTTCCAATACTATTGTTTATGGACAAAAACATTTTGCAAGATTAGTTGAGATTATTAACTACAATATTAATATTGGTTTGAATTTCTGTCAGAGGAGGAGGAAAGAGCTGGGTAGAAGCAGTCAATGAAAGCTCAGAAGAAATTCTTCCTCCATAACTCAGTATTTCACATGGCTGTTGTGTGTTGTCACTGTGTGTGGTGGTTTAATTACGGAAGCTGAGCCTGAGAGGGAAATTAATTTCATTTCTGTGTCTTTTTCCTCCTTTGCCTGTCTCTTAATAAGCTTGGAGTTATTACTGGCTGCCCAGACACTCACCTCGAGAGGTTGTTTTATTTCATGATTTGTGCTAATAAATCACTTTGGCTCTATCCTTGAGGCTTAAAATGTTGACAGCTCCTTCAGACAGATTGGTGGCCTCCTGTCCCATGACAATATATCACCGTCTGTCACAGGCTGTCTGTGCAGGTGGCCAGTATGTGCAGCAAGGAAACCCAATCCTCGTGTGCTTGAATCAGCTGGCGGTGGTGCCTACCATCAGGTGCAACGAGAAATCCCAAGGATTAAATGCATCGCTGTGATGCTTTTCCATGCTGCCTTCTGTCACATACATGAAAGCTAGATTTCATGTAAAGTGCCACAATTAAGGTTTTAGCTCATTCTGTTCAAGGAGGAAATCTTCAGTGTTCAGCTCACCCCATGCTGCTGTGGGCTTGATGCAGCCACTCGGTGGCCTCAGCAAGGTGAAAGCATGGTTTGATCCCAGAGGGAGCTGCCACCCTGGAGCTAAAGATTATTTCCTCATTTCCCTTGGCTGAGGAAGCACCCCACAACCAGTGAGAGCCTCTTCAGCTGGCACTTCCACCAGAGAAAACAGTTGTTAGAGCACGTCCTACAAGCATTCACCAGGATGCTTAAAGCACTTGAACAATGAAATTTCCAGCCGTGGTTTTCCCCTGCAAGACGCAACCACCACACATTATCAGGCTATTCAAGTCGAAGGCAAATGATGCAAACCCTGCTCTTTTTATTTTCCATTTCAAGTGTTTTGTAGTTGATTTTTTTTTTTTTTAAATGCCTTTTTCCCAGTCTCTGTAGGATTCCTCATGCTGCAGCCTGGTCCCTGACAGACTGCAGATGTTAACTGTTTCAGGTTAACCGGTGAGCCAGTCCCTGAGCATGAGGGGAGTAGAAACAAACATGCCCTCACCCTGCTTTCTACTGCTGTACTCATCTCTGAAGGCTATGGTGGAAAGATTTTCCCCCATCCCATATTCTAAAACTGTTTGTTGAAAGCAAAAGTATCAAAACACTGACTCTGCTTCATCATATTATTCTTTACCTGTCAGGTTTCAGACTTCAGACAGTCCCAGTTTCCTTTGACTTTGTTCGGTCTTTCAAATACACCTCTTCTTTGAATCAATAATAGGGAATCCAAAAGTCAAAACTTATAATTAAAAACCATTGCAACCAGTTGCTGGCAGTGCTCCTGCCATGTGGATAACCATTCTGCCCTGCCAAAAATCAGCTGTCCCTGCAGAGATAGAGATCCCAACATGTCTGGTGTGAAATGAGCACGCAGCTTATGAAAGCTGTAGTCTTCAGGTTAAAGCAGGGTCAGATGCAGCATGGAAACTTATTAATTAGTCAAAATTAAGGGGAATAATGACTAGAGAGATTTACCCTTTGCCTGTCTGCCTTGCACTTGCACCATAGGCATGTTGGTGTAATTACAGCTCTCAAATTCCTTAGGAAAATGTAACATTTTTCCTCTGCTCACTGTAGGAAAAGTGGGAGCAAGCCATGGGGCTGTTTAAGCCTTCATATAGGGGAGGTAGGGAATGGGGCAGCATGTCTGGAGTAGATGCTATGGATGGGAAAATAACCAAAGACTGGATGTAGCATTCAGTTTTCAGTCAGCACGAGGAGTGACCTGCTTATCTGGCTTTCAGCAGGCACTACTATGGGTCCCAGAAGTGCTAAGTTTGCACTTCTGTGTTTCTGGCAGGCCTCTGCCACCCTGCCAAGGCTGGAAGGAACCAGGACCTTACAGGCAGTTTCCCCCCAAAGCCCACCATGGCAGTGCTGGGCAGCAGCTTCACGTTTTGGGTTTAGGGCAGACAGACCCAAAGTGAATGGCACCGGTGGGAGAGCTCATCCCTCACCTGTTCTGGATGCTTTCATCTCTTCAGCATTGCTGGTACAGCTGCTCAAATGGATGCTTCCTAGCCTGACAGCCAACAGGAGATGGTGAGCAAAGCCATGCCTGTTTCCTGGTTCTCACTGGGTTATTTTTCCCAAATCTCAGGCTCTTTTCAATGCTTCCCTTCACATCCCTGTTATGGTGAAATGAGTCTTTGTTTTCTTCTGAGGACATTGAAGAATATGTGCATTTGTGGTGTTTTTTAATGATTGAGGAGACAGAGTTAAATAGAGGTTTCTTAGTTATGCTAATTTGTTTTAGGACATTTGAGAATGGTAATTTGGAATTTTCGAGGCAATAATAACATTAAAAGGCTCATCATTTGTCAGAAAGACAAGTGCAAAGAAACTCGAATCGCAAAATTTACATATTCTGCCTAGTGCAGAAATTAGTTTTGCTTTGGACTGCTTCAAAATGTTATTTTACAGAAAGATTTGGGGTATAGTGCAGGCTCTGTCAGATACCCAACTCAGCCTCCGGTTGCAGAGCCTTAAAACAGGCACTGCTCGTTAGCACAGTGATTCAGGGCAGCAGAATCGGGTTTACTCTGGAGCCAGCAGAGCAGGGTGAGTGCTCCTCTTCCCCTTGTTAGCACTGAGTAGGAAACACCAGCTATGGGATGAGTCTCAATCCCTATCCTGCTTTGGAGGTGTCTGGCTCAGTGCAGTGCTTTGCCCTGCCCACCCCCAACCTGTAGACTTTTCTGCAAATAATGGACTCAAAGTTAAATTGTCCACAGCTCCTTTGTGTTGATTTTGGTGTCTCACAGCCTTGCCTAAGAGTTGCAAGGTGAGGGAGGGTGAAGGTCTGGCTGCTCAGGCAAACACCAGCCTGCAAGTCAGATTTTGTGAAGGTGCTCTGTGGATCTAAGACATCGCTGCTGCCTGAAGGGATGGTGCTGCTCCCATCTTGAATCTGCTTCTGCTGTTTCACTTGCCTTAGTGCTCACTTGAATCCTTGGTGAGTCAGTTTTTCTGTCTAAATGGGCAGGAAAATCCTAATCAATTTATTTATTTTTAAAATAAAAGTTCCCCTTTTCATAAAATTTCATGTGTGACAGTATGGGCCCTTACCTTTTTGTGATTTAAAGAAGACTTTATTGCTCTTTGAAGCAGAGGTACGATGTTCCCCTACCTATGTTATGGTAGTCTGCTCTGGGCATCAAAAAAAATAGACATCTGAATCTTACCCTTACATGTCTTCATCAGTCTTCTGGGTCTGATTAACTCCTGTTTGAAAAAAAAAAATCAAAAGAATCCCAGTGACTCAAGTAGAAATTTGACCAAACTCAGAAAAATAAGGCTTTATAAAAATGAGCAAACACCAAAATGTGCTCTTCAGTCATAAGGGAGGTGAGGACCTTTGGCTCACCTAATAACCAAAGGCTGTGATTATTCCACTTGGAGTTTTGCTGATATGTATAAACTGTTTTGTTCATGTTTATAGTGTCACCATGAATTGTCCCAGAAGAATGACATTTGTTAATGTGAACAGTTGGGAGATATGCTTTTCATTCTGTGACTAATCTGGACTTTGAAATGTACTGCCAGTGGCTTCAAAAGACAGCCAGTTGGTGTGCGAATCAACGCCAGGCCTGGAGCAGAGATCTTAAGAAATATGGCAGGGATATTTGCAGAGTATGCTCAAGAGTAAATAATCAATATCAAACCAAACAGATGTGTGCTGCTTAAACTGAGGTTATACCAGTGTAACTCCGTTCTTCTCCATGACATTCACGGTTGATTTACGTCATCTAGGCTGGAAGCTTTGGCCTTGTTTGGTGACATGGACTGTTTTGCCCATAATGGGGAAATCAAGAGAGATTGTGGAACCATGATAGACAGAAATCATGGGACTGTTGGAATTTAGCACTTGGAAGAGGCACTCAGTGACTATCCAAGAGAAGGGCTATAATTCTCTCTGTATCCTGTGCTGTGTTCTGCGGAAGCAACCCTGCGATTCAGAGACCTATGGGGTGCTGGCCCACCATGCTGAGTGCATCTTCTGCAGGAAAATCCTCCGTGTTTGGAAGCACTGACTCAGAGACAAGAAAATGCTGGCTGCTTGGACGTGGCCACTTCTTGCTGGCTGAGGCAAAGTGGTAACACAGAAGTATATCTCCTCTTGTGGGCAAGTCTAACTTGTTGACATTTAATCCCCTTGAATCAAGTCAGCTGAATGGTAGCTAAAATCTGCAATATAGCTATAGCTGGCATCCTCAATAATGTAACTGTTTTCCTCATCAAAATGAAGTCATTTTGTCAGCAGATATGGATTACACTTGAAGCCATCAACAGCCAAGATATATGCACTGGAAAGAGGTTCCTGTGAAAAATAATCAAATGTGGGATTTGTGTACATAACAGACTTGCACCCAGATAGTTAACTGTCAATTAAAACCTGCTTTAAGTTTCTGGGGCTCCAGCTTGGGAGTAAACAGATCCTGACTCCATTTACTTTGCTTTATAACTCTAATCTATTCTTTCTTGATATCTCTGTCTCTCGTACAATTTTCTGTGTTGGACTTGTCATGAGGTTCTTGCATTTATTGAATTCTTATGACTCTTTGCCTTTTTTTCTCTCTAATTCAGTGACAATCTGTTGCTCCCTGCAGTGACTAAAGCACCTTGAACATTATCATTCAGTGTCTATGTTATCATGCAGCAATGACTCATCATGTCAAGATGATGGAGAGCAAGGCTTGTAGTGTCTGCGGAAGCTTCAGTCAAATAAAGAATAGCAGCTTTTATCTGACCAGGCCTCTAGCTTCATTACTTGGCTATAGATCAGAAGCTGTTAGGACAAACTAGAGTATTGTGTGGTTTACAAGAACATAAAGTTAATAGCATCCGATTTAGGACAAGGGTGCTCAGAACCCTTTCATTATTTTTTGCCTAAAAGGCAATGGACAGATTTTTTCTTCATAGGCCCCATCTCTATATTATGCCCTGTCAAGAAGAAATTGTCTTATTATTATATTCTATGTTAATATTTAAATAGCAGGAAAAAAAAAAAAACAGCAAGTTTTATATTTGGAGAATCCACATAAGCTGAAAGAATACTAACAACTAGGAGAAAATACTTCGAATCTCCTTATTTAAGTGTAAAGACGAATTATTTTTATCTCCTTATTTAAGTGCAACAGAGAACATAAAAGGATGATAAAAGTACCTAGAAGGGATTATCCAGCTACACTGACTTCTGTTTTCTGCAGCAGAAGGCAACAGTGCAATGCCTGTTTTGATTTCTTGTGAGCTAGACACTTGCTCTGTATGCCAGCAACCCATCAGGAACTACGAAATGGTTCCCAATAATTTAAGTTGGGTTACAGTTCAAAGTAAAAGATCAAAATGCACAACTGTAATGTGTCACATGGAAACAGGAGGGAAAAATGAGGCCATTGCCTATATCTCAGGCCCCTGCAAGAAATTTGCGTATGAGATCATTTCTCTAAAAAGTTTATTCATTATCATAATCCCCAGGTTTACATCGTAGAGTTTTGACCAGAAGCATCTGTAAATTAAAAGCATTCAGTTGTGTTTGTGTGTGTATGCACCCACATACATGTGTGTGAATATTTTAGTGAGTGCAAGACCTCTTGTTTTTAAATCATCGCTGATAATCCAGCAGTTGTTTATATTTAAATGAAGGATGTTGCTAACCAGAATGTTCTGCCTTCTGGAGTCCAGTCCTGTTTTTTTGCATTACAAGCTATCTGTAAATGATTAGCACTCCTTGTGGAAATGAAACAAGGAGAGCCAAGTGCGTGAGGTGCAAGAAGGAAAGCAAGAACCTAATGCGTAGCACCCCTCCTCTGCAGGAACAGCAGACTGGAAGGGCCTTTGGGCTGTCCATTCCCTACTGTATAATCACGGAAGTCTTTTCCCAGATGGATCAAACTTCATTTTAAATGCAGCCAGATCTCTTCTTTTTTCCTCTCCTCACTTGTTACTCCTGTTTTCAAGTGTCCTCGTCTCCAGCCCACATTTACCCCTGACCCACGTGTGACAATGGGGTTCAACAGCAGATCATGTTCATGCAGGTTGTGACATGGAGAATACTTTTCTGTGCACATTAACCGAAGGGTTAGTTACAGCTAACACAGGATTAACTGAGATGGGCTGAAAGATGAGCCTGCCTTCGTTGGAAAGTGGTGCTGGAGAGGTGCATGCTGGAAAAGGTATGCCGTTGCACTGCTCCTCACAGATTGTAATGGGAGATTTTTATACAAAAGTTCTTTTTCGGGTTTGGTAAATAATGTATTCAGCTGGCTACGTTGCTGTTGAGACTTTGTGTATCTGATTTAAGTGGATTAGAAATAGCTCGTTTGTACTCCAGCAAGTTTTGTACTAAAATAACAGAAGGGAACAAGCTAGGTATGTTTTATTTAGAGGCACGTTTGTGTGTATACACAGAGCGAGTCATCTCTCCAACAGTGTTCTCTGCCTTGTCTTGCAACCTAACATAACGCCTGACAGCAGAATTTACTCAGTTGTTTAGATAGGTCTCCTCTGAGCTTGCCAGTCTTTCTGAGTACAGGCAGAGCTAGTTCCATCTTCCAGAGCACAACCTGGCGTACTCCGCCTCCCCATGAACCTCGTGTCTCCTTGGAACAAGGAGCTGCACCCTCCCTGGCTCTCCATTTAGGTATCCGGGGAGCAACATGAGGAGCAGTGCAGCCTCTCAATATAAGTCTGGCTATAGTTTCTGGGAATTAATATACCAAGGTTTTTAGTGGTCTGGCTTATACCTTGACTTGTATACCAGAAACTAGACAGGATAAAACTGGAATATCTAGAAAGCCTGCTCTTGGGCAGCAATGGAGGAATATCCCTGAGCCACCTGGCCCTATTGTGGGAGAAGCTGGTCCATCAGTGCTTGCTTGCATCCTTGTTTCTCCTGAGGGACATGGAAACTGGCAAAAGTTTAACGATCCTTTTCTTGCTTTTCTGGGTATGTAATGTCTATAGTTGCCATGGAGATGTTACGTGATGGTCCTTGAGAAAATCTTTCTATTAAGGTATTACCAGCTATGACTGAAATTTTTAGAGCCTCTATTATACATTCATTTGAGACACTTTTATTTGCAATCTAACAGGCAATATTAAAAACGTGAAATGCTCTCTGACTATGTGGCACAGTATCCTAGGCTACTCATTTGAAGAACAGCATAAAAATCCATTCTGTGCTTTCCCCATTCTCCCATTTATTTCTAATTCTGAGATTTGATTCCTCGGTATAAGAAATTGAAATTTAGGAGATGGTCGATTTGATTGTAACTCTTCAAGAAGGAAAGAAATTACCCCTCATAATGCTTGTAACATTATCGTGGATGGTTATGTTTGTATGTAGCCTTAGAGAGCATTGTTGAAAGTGACTTTATTAACTTTTACCAATCATATTCTTCATCTCAGTTTGGTACCATTATGGACATTAATTAATCAGACTGAGGAATATAAATAAGAATGCATGAAAATTATTGAAGCATAGAGCTGGACAAAAGGGGCTCACTTCTGCAGTTGTTTTATCCTCTCAAGCTCCCAGACCTTTTGATACCCTAACAAGCTCTTCTTCCAGCCTTTACAGTTTATCTCTTTTCTGTTAAAAGAAATATCCTAAATTAATAAACTAATGAAAGATAGAACCTAGTAAAGGCAAGAGCATTGTAATAGTTGTGAGATAGGAACTTTATTTACTCTTGTCTGGAATTCAGTGTGGCAACTCATGTAAAACCTACACCAAGTGTCTTAGTTACAAGTTCTCTCTTCTCCTGTTCCTAACAAAAATGGTGACAAACATTTTAATTCTCTCTTTCCTGTGTATTCAACAATGTTCTTTGTCTTTTATGTCACACAAATGTATTTTCATTACATGTTCCAACACTGGTAATTACCCTTTTACTGTTATTTCAAGTCTCCTTCAGTACTTCATATGGGCCTGAACCATGTGAATATATGAATTACACTGTGAAAGCCATTGAAACAAGGACCTTATATTCTTTATACATCTGTAAAGCACTGAATACAGCCAGAGCTCTATAAATAATAATAGCTAAATGATAAGCTTCTCCAAATTCCAAAAATATGTTTTTGTTAAGGATTCTAAATTCCTCTAGATTTAACACAGAAAAGGAAGATTAGGAGGCATTTTTCCCCAAAGACTATTTTGTTATAGGATCCATTGAAATCTCTTAAAAACCTAATTACTGGAAACCAAATGTAGCATTTGAAGCTATATAGGTCATTACATTTGTTGAGAACACCTTTAGATCACAAATAAATACAGAAATAAAGAAATAATATGAGGAAGACTAGACTTGGTAAGTTAGAAGAGAACATACATTTGAAACTTTTTTCTTTTTTTTTTTTTTTTTTCTTTTTTCTGTTCATCAGTTTAATTTACCAGCAAAGAAAGTTCCCATAAGTAATGGCCATATACCTTTTACTCAATGCAAATTCAGTTAATCTTTCGAAGTTTTCATTTCATGGGCCTGGAAACTGCAGTTTAATGTGCATTAGGAAACACAGATGTAATATGGGTAAATTGCATCTCACTGTATAACTGAATCTCCAATGCAGATTTTACTCTGCAAGGGATAAATTTATTAGAATTAGTGCCAAAGATTTAGATTTCAGCCTGGCTTTCATTTATCATAAGCCTCTTGCCTTACTTTGACAATAAAAAGAGAGAGACCTTGCATGTAAAGACCCTTTTAAAACACTTCCAGAATGATGTGGAAAGGCGTTAGGATAAATAAGCATCAGGCCCTGCACGAGTGCTCGAAGCAGGGCCGTATGCAGCAATATGCCGTGCTGCCGCTCATTTATTTTGAAGAGCAATGCGTTGCCACTCCAGCTGGCAAATGGGTGCCTTCTGTCTGATTGTTCAGACCTCCCTTCCCCACGCCTGGGCTTGTGCGAGAGCCTCATGCAGCCAGCATGGGGGGTGCCAGGTGACTGCTGGGGGCACCTTGCTTAAGCTTGCCACTTCTCGAACCCCCGCAGCAGGCTCCTGTGCAGTCACGTCCCCTTACTGTCACCCCTGGCAAACAACGCAGGGTCACCATTTAAAAACCCTCGCTGTGGCTTGTGAATTTTAATCCGCCTTCAGTGTTAAACATTGGCAGGTGGCTTATAAAGAACATAATGCTAATGGGGTATATTTTGGGAGGGTTATTTCAAACCTGGAACAGTGCCTTCCCAGCCTCACAAATAGTTTTTTTTTTTAACGCAAATGAGGCAGTGAGGAGTGGAGACCTAGGAATGGGGGGCCAGGGAAAGGCATTCCTCAAAGCAGCCTTGCCACCAAGGGAAATGCCAGCAGATCCACAGCCTCACTCCATGGTCTGTGTGCTTGGAGACTGTCTAGAAAGGACCGCAAAGCCAGCAAGTGACCTTCATGGCTTGTTCCAAACCTAATTATGGTGAAGGAAATCAAATTTCTCTAGTGATTTTTTACTTTCTGGCAAATTTAAGGGCAGGATTTTTCTGGGATGAGCCTCATGCATTTGGAAGCATTGGAGGAATGTGTCAACAGTTTGAAATCTGGGGTACAACAAAGTGGCCTGCAGGTTCAGACTGATGTTTTGGAGATGAAGGGACCTGAGTTTTATGCCAACAGTTTTGAGTATTTCAGTCTTTTTCCTGGAGAAGGTCTTAGCTGAGCTAAGTAGCACCATGGCTCTGGAGTTGTGTATGCAACTGAATTCCTTCAAGGTTTATCTCAAGACTTGTGTGGGAGAAGCCCTGCAGTGCTATGGATGATATCACAACTGGATATCACAACTGGAAGCTCTGTGTTCAGAGAGTATCATGTTTATTACTTATAAAACTGGATGTTCCACCAGTCCTCTAGCCTCTAAAGGATGTTGAATAGCAGACACAGCACAAATGATAACGCCTTTTATATGACAAGATAGGAATGGAAGGATTCTGGTGGCCTTCGGGGCAATACAGCAAACATTTTAGTTTGATAGGGTAATCTATCTCCTGTTGTGGGGCATCTTCTTTCATTGATGCCCAGTTTTACTATTCTGAGATTTGGTATCCTATTTTTCCTCTCTTGCTTTGAGCACTGCTGTAAATGATAGCTCTCGTGCAGTAGGAAAACCCTGCTAGCTTAAGATGCATTTTGATTTGTGACGTTTACAACCTAATTTTCTTCTTTCCCAAACTTTTATTCCCTGTTGTTTTCTTTAACACTGACACGTCTGAATACGAATGAACCTGCACAAGAAAGTTTTGCCATGCTATAGCTGCATGGTGTGACTATACTTTCATCTCGTCTCCCTGGAGGAATCTATGTGATATTTGACCTCCTTCATGCACCGTACTCTGCTTTTAATCTTTAGGGCTCTGTCCAACCCCTGAGTTTGGAAGAACAGCACTATCACCCTATTAACCAGAGCTCATTAACTAATGACAGTCTAGAGCAGTCAGCGGCATATATATGCCAACAGCAATGCTCAGGTGAACCATGTGGTCAATACAATAAAATGACCCGAGCAGGGAGGGTAAGTTTTGAGCTCAGACTGTGACCATAAATTTACCCTTGATCATACACATGCACTGTTTTTTCCCCTGGATCCCTAACCTGGGCTATGGACCAGGACCCTATGTCAGCAAGGCCACAGCAAGGCCAGGTCCCCACAGCCCTGCCCTGCTCAGCCATGGGCCCTGCTGAGCCAGGCCTACCTGTGGGCCCAGATCCCGGCCTGGCCTCATCCCATCCCCACCCAGGGAGGTGACCAGTACCTGGTGTCCCTGACTCGGATGGGATGGGATGGGATGCCCTTCCCTGATCAGCCCTGTGGGGAGGCCTCTGACACTACTGGCTCCTGGGACATATCATGGGGAATGCTGAGAGAAATGCTGATCCCAGTACTTCATAAGTAAGTCCTGAAACTATGGTCACATACGTCTTAGTATTTCCCAGAAAATTAGGAGACTGAGAAGACCTAAATTTTTGAGCTGCTTTCTGTTCCTGACAATTTCTGGAGTGTGCAAAAAGAGCAATGACTTTTAGGAGAAGTTTTCTGTTGAGACATTTTTAGGAGAAGTTTTCTGTTGAGACATGGGGGTGATCATCAGGTGAGATCTTGTGTGTCGAAAAGCAAAGCTCACATACACCTAACAAAGCAAAGCTCTCATGTAGCTAATGAGGCAACCACTGAGGTATGAAAGCAGTCAGTTCTGGAGGGGACACCAGTAATGCTCAGCAGTGGGTTTAATTTTACACTTTTTTTTTTAATTAAAGATTGAACACAGTTTCACCTTCTGCCCACCAGCTGTATCCAGGTTTTACATCAAGAGAAAGGGACATTTATGAGAATTATTATGGGCCATCACAGCCATTCCACAGGGTGCCTTGCACCTGGGTTTTCAGCAACTGCGTTAGGGATGGATGTCAGACCACACGTGGGGATGTTGTTTTGCCCATCCATGCAGATCAAGCTTGGAGCCCTCCCTATTTCCACCCATCTTCTTTTTCACTGACAGCTTGGCTCATCCCTTGCTACCATGACTTATGTGTGCCATGCATGGGGACCACTGACTGCCTTTAAGAGTTAGGGCTCCTGTCTAAGGAGATGCAAGTAGGTGCCCAGAGATGCAGCTGTAGGAGCAGGGTTGTCTGCTGAAATGGAAAAAGTCGCGGAGAGACCTGGTTCTCTGCTGGGACTGAGGGGGATATATTAAAATTACTTATGTGAAAGCAACAAAATGATGGATTAAATGAGGTGGCAGTTCCTGTTTCTCTGTTCCCTGCTGTCTCCTTTTTCTTAAACCCTTCATGATGAGGCTGACAAGGTCACCTCTCCACCCACTCACAAAACGAACATGTGTCATTTAAAAAGAATAAGTTTTTGGGAGCAAGAGAACAATTTTGATTTAACTGCTGTTTTATTGAAATCGTTGTTTGTGCAGGATGATGAGGGGAGCCAAATAATCCCCTTGTGAAGTGGTCAAACTTTGCACAAGGTATAGTAGCACCAGCATCAAAACCCGGGGGAGGAAAATCTGCCCCTCTGCTTCTACGAGTGGGGACTATCTGGTAGCAGTTCCCCAGTGGGTAAGGAGGCTGCAATGCTGCTCATGTCCCTGTAGTAGTTAGTTCTTGATATCAGTAGAGACATCCATGCCAAGGTGTGCTTAGATGTCTTGTCATGCACTCCACTCTGAAGGGTGTTCCCAGAGCATGAAAAACACAACACACATGAGAGCCCAGGGTGTGCTGCTGCTGGAGCATCCACTGGGGCATACTGGGATCTGGAGGAGAGGATGAAGATGGGAAGGACCTGTAGTGGCCAAGCACCAGATGGTCTGGGCAAAACTCTGGAGTTAAGCTTGTTATTGAATGCTTCTTACATACAGGTTGTGGCATTGGTGCTATTACTTAGCACAGCGGGTGTGTGAGTGAAGGGAGCCCTCTTGCCTTCCCCTCTCTGCATCCTCTTGTTCCTGCCAGTCTCATTTTGGTGAGACACAGCAATCTGCCAAACATTTCACCCTGTGTGATTCTGTGGTCTGCTTCTCCTGAATCTGAGCCACTGCAGCTGCATGCAGATGAAGACAGTTGGATTCAGCTGTGCCTCTTAAGATTATCATCCATTTTTAGACCTTTTGTGAGAAGGCTGCTGTTTCTTCACACTTTTGGAGATGCTCTTTCCTCATCTGGGAATTATCTAGTCATACCAATAATCTCCCCTACTGTCGTCTTCAAGGCCTTTCTGGACCACATATTTATAAACCTCTATAAATATTGAGGTCAACATTTCTCTGCCTCTGGTAGGCACTGCCTGTTCCTAGGTCCCCAGGGGCCTGACAGAAGAAGAGTCATAACAGCTGAAACTGTGAGCCTGGTTGGATGCTGCTTTACAGCTTGCAAGCAATAGTTGTGCTGGGTTATGTTACCCTGACCTTGTTTGTAAAAGCCCACTGGTAGTAGAGTTCTTCTCTACAAGCTAATGGGGCTTCTCATGGCACTAAACCGGTGGCTTTGGATGGGTGAATACGCTTAGGACAATGCACAGAGGTTACAACATTTTGAATGTCAATGGGGAGCTCTTCCTTGTACATGTTATTTAAACTTGCTGAGACGGCGTCTTTCAGTGGCTGCTCTCCAGAATATGAGTCCCATTTGAATGTTTTTAATTGCTCAGCTTCATAGAAAGTTTGCAAATCTTACTGAAAATTAGACAGGCTGATTAGAAAAGAATTTGGTGAAATAACACAATACATTAAGGAGACTGTCAGGAGACCTGTGCTTCTAGCTGCCCTGTCAAATAGTGGATATGTTAACACATAAAATAACTGTGTTCCAATATGAACAGTTTGATTGCTGTTGGTTTTCCTTCTGGATTCTGTAAGAAAACAGGTCTTCATTTATTTATTTATTAATTTATTGAAAAGAAGAATACATGTGTGTAGTGTTCAGCTGTGACCTGTCTATTTAAGTCTTTTGCAAGACTTGAGGATGTATTCTACCAAAGGCCAGCAATCCACCTCCTGCAGTGGGATGCCCTTTCAGTTCCCACTTGTTTACTACTTAAGCCTTAGGCAAAATGCACCAGCTTCATTATTCTTATAGCCCACTATGCAGAGAGATTTTTTTATCAGTTTGCTCAGTGCAGCTGTGAACTCAGTGACCGAAAAGTTCAATGACTTGGTTTTGATTCCATTAAAATGTGCTATCAGAAAAACCACTGTTGTATGTTTTTTCTTAAACTACTAAGTATTTTTGTATTTCTTTGTTTTGTGATCTTGCAGACTCAGCTCTTGGGAGTTCTACTTGCTGCTGCTTCAAATTTTTTGATCAGTGTCTCTTTGAGTATACAGGTATGAAATTATTGGTCTTTATTTTCTGTCGTTTACATTTGGCATATAACTTTTTTATAATTTGTTTTTATGCTGAAGTTCAAAATACAAATTGTGTTACATTTAATAAACATTCCCACTCTTTCTTTAACTAGTGTTGTGCAGTAGTTTTCAGCAAGATGATAGTTCTCAGGCTGTTCTTTGCTGTGATTCTCATATGGGAACACAATAAAAATTCATAACTCCTCCTTCTCTTCCTTATAATGTGCCATAAGTAAGTACCAGCTGTGACCTACATATAGTCCCACTGGACATCATGTGAACATGTCTCAGTATGTCCAAATCTAAAGTGGAAGTGACTAAAAAATCTTGGGGGTAACTTAATGGGGTGATTAATGTAATTAAATGCCCATAAGCATAAACTTGTTTGCTTTTTATTTGTTTATAGAGACACAAAATGCTGGATGTCACCTGCAAATTGTTGGTTTGTGGATCAGGGAAGTTTGATTTCATTATGCTCCCCATTTTCTTTCAAGGGCTAAACTTCTTTCTAGTATTTCAACCCCCGAGCATGTTCCACAGCATGAAGCTGCAATAATGTTCTGCTTTGTCTCTCTGAGGGAAATGACTGAGACTATGGTATATCACAGACATTACTCTTTGGCCCATATTCTCCAGCATAACTTACAGAGTAGAATGGAAGCCTGAGGACAATGATTTACAACTTCCTTGTGACTCTGCAGTGGCACTTCCAAAATCGTGTATCAGATGGTGGAGTAAAACATGTATTTTACAGCCATTTATACAATAATAGCTGTGTCATTTGGTTTCCAACTTTTTTTGACTCATTTGTCTGTGCAGAGGGGCTGGTAAGAAATCTGAGAAAGGAAATTATATTCTGCAGAGCTAGTGCAGAACATTGCATCCTTCCCTATAATGACACCTTCCTGACGGTGAATGCCTGGACACTGTTTCAGAAGTCCACCGTGATCAAAGTCAAATTATCCCATTATATACAGGTTCTTTCTGTACAGCCAGAGGGAAAGCAATTGTGACATGCATAAATGATACCTTCTCCATGCCACTAGAAGTGTTGATGAAATACTACTTAAGTATATATTAAACCTGTTGACACAGCTTTTTTTCCTTCTGAAAATAATGCTTTACCTGAGCTCTTCTTCCAAGATCAAACAAGAGATTGTAGCCAAATCCTAAATTCTCCCTTTTGAATTTAAAGATCTCCCTACAACATATGTGGTTAAGTACTGCCTTTTTCATCCTGAAATTGTATTTCTGGCTATGATACGTATCAGGGGCAGGAACACCGTGGAGTCCAGTCCCCTTCTCCCAGTTTGTTGCCACCATTCTCATTATGGCCCATCTCTTCCCTCTGAGTGTTTCCAGATTCACAGCACAACCTACTGAGCTGTGCTTTGAGAGAAGAACAGAGGCGTGCAGGGATAGCTAGGAAGTACTAGCTAGTATTCACTTAATCTTTTTCAGATTTATTCAGAGGTCTAATTTTTCAGTCATTTCCACCACGGCTGAAAAAGCACACATCTGAAGCAGCATTGAGTTAACACAAAGCCGTCTGTCTGCAACAGCAAGCTGAAAGGCATGTTTAAAAAGAAAACTTTGACGCACCTGGAATTTGAAGTTGACAGCCCCCTTAATTACTCCACTTTTATTATACATAAGAACACAATGGGAGCCTTTCTTTTCATGCCTGTTCCTAATAATTAATTTTCTAGAAATGTGCTCATCTCCGACTAGCTTGCCAAACAGAGCCGAAGCCCTACTACACGAGCAAGCTGTGGTGGTGTGGAATTATCCTCCTGGGGCTTGGAGAGGTGGGCAATTTCACAGCCTACGGATTTGCCCCCATTGCCCTTGTCGCTCCACTAGGATGTGTATCTGTCATAGGTGAGATGGTTTGCCATGTTTTGTTTGGGTACATACTTTAATTGAATGCTTATTTGTGACTGGAGGAATAATACCAGGGGAACCACAGCAGGAATGCGAGGGGAAGATGTTAATGTTGTGGTTTGAAAAGAAATGATTCATATAATTACACGAGCTGACAGTTTAACACAAACCCTCTACTTAACTTGGAGACTCTTCTAATATTTTTTCTTCTTCTATGGTTTTGTCTTTGTGGACTCTGTCACTCTGTGCTGTGCTAATCCCTGCCAGTCGAGCTGGCAGAGTGGGACCAAAAGGGACTAGAAATTTCCTGTAGTGGTTTAGCTTATTTGTGGACATTATCAAAGCTGTTCATTTGTTCCTTCATGTGCAGATTAATTGACCTTTAGCAGAATTATTCCTATCCTTAGGGCTCATTTGATGCAATCTTACTCTTTACTTCATGATTGTTTGTTTTTTTGTAGTTAAGGTATTTGGGTATTATCTTGTGTATGAGATGTCTTGATTCTTTGATAAAGAAATGTACGTTTTAAAAGATGCTATCATGTTGTGCTAATGCAGAGCAGAGTGGACAGGGCAATATATAGAGTGTATGAAAACCAGAATACAAGGTGCAGCTGTATCCCTTGGTCAAGTTGCTTCACATCCACAGCTGAAACATCCAGGGTTGAGATATCACAACAGCTCCGCACACTGCTGGAGCTCATTTGCTTGCTATTGACAAGTGATAACATTTCATGGTCTGTGTCTAGCTACCAGTTTCAGGCTTGGAAGCAACACTGTGGTGAGCGATTCTGCATGGGGAGGTAGAAAAGATGAATTATCTTCCCTGTGGACTGTCTGGCTGTATTGGAAGGAGGCAGCCAAACATATGTGGGTGCAATTTAGCAATAAAGTAGTGGGGGAAGGAAACTGCAGGCAATTTACTGTAACCTTTAATGTTAAACTATTGCAGAATTTTGCAGAATGAGATATAAAACTGCTGTAGTTCACCATTGTAGGAAAGCTTTCTCAAGGAAAGGAATGAGATATTACCTGAGATGAAAATGTAAATTAACATGACATATCCCAGTGTGATTTTGGTGGCAGTAGTTTTATCTTTAACAATTGTAGACATTTCCAGATGTTTCTGAACATAAGGGGACTTGATCTAATTTGTTGCCCAAATTGAGGAAAATGCAAATGTATATACATCTAGCAGGAAGAAATGAAAAGCATTGGGAAGTCAAAAAATTACGTTGGTTATTAAGCTACTACAAAGAAAAGGTCATATTTAAGATGATTTTTATCTGGGCAGATTCCTTCTTCCTTACCTTTGCAATATGTGAAGGAACATTGCATATGTTTCCTTCATTCTCCATTTCTCCTTACAACAAGTATCAAGAAGCCATTTTCCTTACTGTTATATTTTATCAAAACTCTCAGCCACTTTTTTTTTTTTTTAAACTGACCCCATAATGCTTATCCTGGAAGACCCCAGAAAACACTTCAATATCTTATTTTCCATTCCCACATATCAATTGTCAGTTTCCCTTTCATAGCCCAAACAAGAGATATCTAAAATTGTGTTTAGTCTAGCAAACATTCCCTTAAGGAAGGGAAAGTAAAAATGATGTAGACAGCCAATTACAACAATAACTTCCTAGTAACACTTCCTACCCCCTAGATACTTCCCTGTCTTCTGAAATTAGAGCTAGAGAGAGAGAGAGCACATCCTTTTAATTTTAATGGTTCGTCATTTAGGACAATGACAAACTGACCAAGACACATGCAGTTCAGCTGCTAACAACTGTGCAGAGGATGGTTTGGCAGCAGGTCTTCCAGTTTCAAACATCAAGAAATATTATTTCATTAAGCTGTGACATCTTTCAGGTGGGGGACAGTGGACTTTGCACAGTCTAGTTGGCTGCTCTTCTGAGGTATTGTCGAATGTGCAACTTTTCATAAGTTATTTTTCAAAATGAAGAAATTAAGCACTTGTTAACAAACTCCAAATTTGTGTTTGAACCTTGAGTCTACCCTTCATATAAACACTTTTTTTTTTTTTTCTGAGTTTGGTGTCAGCACATCTCAGATGGTTAGAGCTGGCTCCATCGCTGATGTTGGGTACTCAGTACCTGTGGCCATGCAGAGGGGAGGTGTGCTTTGTGCTATGCCCAGTCATCAAGGGGACTCTCCGAAGCTCTTTGTGACTCTGGGTCTACATGTAAAGTTTTCTTTGCTTGGAAACCAGGGTGTGGGGAGAGGATAAGGCACAATACAGTCTCTCCAAAACAGATTTGGGCTGTACCCATCATGTATCTCCAGACCTCTGAAATAAGAAGCATCCTGGGTCTTAAAATAGATGGAGCCAACATCTATTATGCTCTGCTACCACATTTAACTGCATCCAACTGAATTTTGTGTTTAATCCGGTATCAATTAAATAGTGAAAAGTTTTTGCTTTGTCCTATTGAGCTGGGTGCTTCTGATGGATGCTTTAGAAAGAATCCATCACCACAGACCATGAGTTGGCATGACACCAGCAGATTTTTCTTTTTTCTTAGAATTAAGCTACAAAGACTATATTTTTCTTCTTACACAGTGGAAGTATTTCTGTGTGTGGTTGCAATGATGCAAGCTCTACATCTGTTCAGGGTTTTAAATAGTTTGAGAAGACAGCAGTTGTTTTCTTCAAGAGGAAAAATTGGTAAATTTTTAATTTAAAAATGGAGAAGTAATACATGTTTGATGTGATCATTAAAAAGCTTTTTATACTTAAAAATTAAAAATCATGTTTTACATGTAGCTTGGGTAATTTTAGACTCCTGTGGTTTTTTGCTCATTCTCTTGCTTTTGCTTGCAGAAATAACTTAGAGGGGGTTGGATGAGGAGAGGCCAGTGGTATCAGAGATGGGTTCTTATGCAGTTTTCCTCATTCTCTAGAGATTTTTTTTTGCATTCAACTCACTTAGACTGACAGTGTTGAGATCCCTTTACATTTTTGGTATGCTCCTTCTATGTAGCTGTGGGGCAAGATATTGCTTTAGACTTTGAAAACTGATATCTCTGATGGTGCTTTAGGGAAAAGATTCTCAGATATTCTTATAGAAATGGATTTCTCCCACTCACTGTAACGTAACACCTTTGTGGTCCAAGACCGTGGGATTTTGCGAACTCTTGTTAATGAGGACTGGGAAACATTCACCAGACTATTCTTTAAAGTGCTCTATTTGTACTTGTCTAGAAGATACAACAAAAGGATTTCCAGGGTCCTTTCTTCCCTCTGCAGCGTGTATGTTCTGTAATCCAGATTCCAGAATTAAGCTTGCCTTAATGGTATCTCTCTTGAGCAATTCCTCTGACATTTTGCTTGCTTCTTTATTAGGATATTGACAGTGGGGATGGGGTGGAACATTTAGTGTCCTGTCCACCACTTTTGTAGTAGTGATATTTAATCATGTTAGAAATGTTAGATGTTCAGCGCGCAGAATAGCTACCAAGATGTCATGCACCAACTGACTAAATTCTGTAATTTATTATTATTTTTTTATTTAGTATGCCATTCATATCACAGAATCACAGAATGGTTTGGGTTGGAAGGGATCTTAAAGTCCATCCAGTTCCTGCCCCCTGCCATGTGCAGGGCCACCTCCCACCAGCCCAGGCTGCCCAAAGCCCCATCCAGCCTGGCCTTGAGCACCTCCAGGGATGGGGCATCCACAGCTTCTCTGGGCAGCCTGTGCCACGGCCTCACCACCCTTTGAGTGAATAATTTCTTCCTAATATCTAATCTAATCTAATCATCTCCCCTCTTTTATTTTAAAGCCATTTGCCCTTGTCCCACCACTACACCCCCTTACCCAGAGTCCCTCCCCAGCTTTCCTGTAGGCCCCCTTTTGGCACTGGAAGGCCTAAAGGTCTACCTGGACCCTTCTTCAGCCTGTCTTCATAGGAGAAAATATCTACAATATAAACTAAGAATAGGCTTGAGTGATCATTTAGCTGTGATGGATTTGTTCCTATATGTCTTGGGCAGAGTTAGTGCTCTGTTTAACCCAAGCTATATATGCAGATATTCTTTTGATTTCTTCAGATTTGTGTTACTCCTCCTCTGGCACAAAGCTCTGAGCAAATGTAATCAACGATTAAATGTAAACCATGATACAGTGATCAAATGTACTACCTGCTTCATCTTCTCTCCAGATCTTCCTGACTGTGTGGCATGCTACACTAGCTCGAATGGAGTAAAACATCTCCTACTGCTTCTCTATGGGGAAGGTCTTGAATTTCTTCAGCTCAGAAGCTAGACAGGACTGAGGGTCCATCTATATAAAGCATAATTTAAGGTCACATTTTAAAATGTGACCTTCCCCAGCAGCAACAGCATGCTCACAGAGTGAGCACTCCTCAGCAATTGTGTGAAATTAGCTGGGTGAACTTAAACTGCTTCATAAGATGGAGGCAGACCCTTAAATTGCATAAAACTGTGTAAACGCTTGGACTCAAAGTGAAATGTTTTCCCTATTTCACAAACTGAGAGAGGTGCAAACAGTAAACAAATCTTCAAATCATGCTCCTCCTTTGGTATTTTATGCAGACTGTTAGTGAAATGAGTAGAAAAGAGTTCTGCAAAATGGATGGTTTTGAGAGCCTTTAACAAATTGATGTGATTTTAGCTTTGCTACCAATCAGTCAAGCTTAAACAAACGAATATTAGAGGCTAATATTCATTTTGTGTGGCTATTGACAAGACAGAAGCAGCATAGGTAGTCTGTGTATTTATAAGGACAGTACTAATCTATTTAAACTAGTACACAAAGCTAATCTAAGACTTGAAATGGAAAAAAAATGAACATTACAAATATGCTAGCATTTAAAGTTATGGACAGTTATGAAACAAAGGTGAAAAGGTGAGATTCATAAATGGGTTCAGTACCAGGAAAACAATTTAATAATGAAATATTATATAAATATTTCATAATATATATACATACTATATGTATATAATTATGAAATATTTGTGAAATAGTTTCAGGTGGAAAAAATAAGTAATAAACACTTTTTTGGACTGGAGAAAATGCAAAAAATACACTCTAAGGATCAGTATGTATTTTCTGTCTTTAACTTCTATTCTTGTATATTATTCTTTTCTTAAAACAAGCAAACAAACAAACAAGAAAAAAAGCCTAAGCACAGATTTCATGTCTAGGAGGCAGAGGAGTTGTTTTGTGAGCTGGATTCTCACCCTTCAGTGTCTGCTACTGGCAGAACCCACATATCATGCTATTCTTTATTTATGTTTCTGCTGGAGAAAACCTGCATATGGAGATAATCTCACGCTATCACTCTCCTAGGAGAATCAGCATCTGACTAATTTATGTGTAGCACCATTACACCTCTCCCTTAAGGCATTTAATTGCATATCATGCAGAAAATGGATGTTTCCTATACTTTTCTTTTTTTTTTTTTTTAAATTAAATTGAAATTCACGTGCTGTAGTTACAGACAATGAATACAAAACAGACCATTTTATGCAGATGTGTGAAAAGGCAAGGTTGTTTCAATATAATGATTAAGCTCCTGAACAAACCCATTTTTTTCCCATTTTCTACCCAATAGTTTTTATCATGATAATTTTTTTTAATTTATTTTTCATTTGAAATATTAATTCCATATTTCCAAATTGAAGAGCTTCATGAGCCTTCAGAAAGGTTAAACTATAAAGATACAGATATTTTAGCAACCTATTTACTTCTCGATTTGTGGATATTGATGTAAACACGATGCAATCAAACCAAGAAAATAACTTAAAGACTTCATTAGGATGTATTTTCATTTGTATGGTCCTTCTTTGCCCAGGCCTGAATCTGTAATGTTCAGTCCTTAACAGAACACCTCCCAGATTTTTCTGCCCTTCTCTTGGTCTAGCAGGCTAGCTGCCACTGCTTTCAGCAGGACTAAAATCTGTGCCTGGTTTTGAAAATTTTGCCTCAATAATTAGTTAATAGGCTAAAAATATTCTGATTCAGCTGAAAGCATACAAATGGCCTCAGACAAAGAAGGACGCAGTCTTTGCTTCAACGACTTACAGGCTGATCCTTTAGGCTTAGTGTTGTACATGTGTAGTATTGCTAAAACCAGCCATTCAAAAACAATGAGAGTGTAGAACAATGATAAATTGCTTGTTGTGTTGCCAAGCTGTTGCCAGCTTATGCTCTGACACAGTTTTTTTTTGTTTGCCTTTCTGCATTGTTGAATTCAATTGATGACCAATTAAAAAAAATCAGAGCCTATTCCTCACTGACATGGATCTCGTTCTCTGTGACTGTCTATAGCCTTGTTTTTTTTTTAAAGAAAAGCAGGCAAACAAATGAAGAGTTGCAAAGACATATTAATACTTTTCAGCACAGCAGTTGCCCAACTTCCTTGGTCTATTCATTCATACGGTTGAACATAATGTACAGTGATTTACTTCCCGCATCAGTATAAAGGGGAAAAGGATGCCCACAGCTCCTGTGACAGAGGGGGAACAAGAGAACCCTGGCACAGGAAAGGGAAGATGGGGTCTGGGTAGTAGGAAAGGTGTTAACTTGTAGATCTGGTGGGCTTAGCTGTGGCCTCTGGCTGCCCACTCACTCTTCTGCCAAGGATTCAGGCACATCGGGGCAGCTTGGAGGCCACCAGGCACAGAGGAGACAGTCAGGACAATCAATGTGTTTGTCAACCAACATATTGGCTTGAGAAGCTGATGTCTTAAGCAGCACAATGTACCTGAGACTGTGAAATGGAGCCCAGAGGAATTCAAGAAGAGGGGCAGAGCAGCTGTGAGGCCTGTACATTTCTCCCCAAGCTCCTGGGGCTCACGGGTTCCTTTCACACCCCTTCTCCTCTAGCCCATTGTTTCTAGCGAGTCGCTGCCTGTGCTGGAACAATCTGCCCTCGGTTTGTTTGATCTAACCTGGCTCCAACCCACACTGCCAACTGGAGAACATAAAAGGTTGTTTAAAAGTCACACTCACAGAGCTTAAAACCCATAAAACGACAAAATAAAAATAAAATTTAAATAATGCGTTAGGCAGTGTATAATAACAAAGTGCTATTTTGGCTGTGCTCATGTTGCTTGCTTGGAATTCAGTCCTGAATGTAGTAGCCAGAACTTGCCAGATGCTGATCAGACTCATGCATGTCCTCCAGCAACTCAGCCACTCTGCATAACCGTTCTCTGCTTCTTTGCTTGGATATACCACTTTGCTTTTCTGCTTGACTTGGATGCATATGAAGCTTTGGTGGCTTACCCACAGGGACAGTTGCCTTTTTAGTTCAGTCGCTCCCCTGGGTTTTGCTCTCCTCCTCTCCCAGTTGCACCTCCCCTCCTACTGCAGGTTTTGCCAATTCCTCCCATCCCAGATGGCCTAATGTATGTCCTCAAAACCTCTTCTTTTTTTAGGTTCCTCTACATACCACACATCGTAAAGTGCATTAATTATGCATATATTCTGTTAAGCTCATGATCTCTTGTGCATTACCAGCTATCTCTGGAGAAAGAGCTTGCAGCATCTGAATGCATTATTAAAGCGGATGACAGACTGAGTGACAAGTTTCATTATCTGGATGTGTTCCAGTGCCTGCCTGTGCCCACTGCCAGCCTGAGAGCTTGTGATCTCCCCAGGCTGCCATCTCCAGAGAAGCAGGCAGTGGAATTTGGGGCATAACTCATCTCACCCCGAATTGGATGCCGGTACTGGAACTGAGCTTTAAATTGCATTTACTAGATCTCCACTGAACACACTGAGAGCCCAGACAATGGGGCAGTCAAAAAAAAAAAAAAAAAAAAAGAAGGGAAAAAAAAAAAAGAAATCACTCAGGTCATTAAGCAACAGGTCTTTGCTGTTACAGTGGCTGCCTGCAGGGGTGGTCTGAGATGTGGTTCGGGAGAGCTCTGACAGCAAGGAGACAGAGCAGTAATTAATTCCTGCACTAACTTGGGTTGCTGCTGCTTCTTTCCTGGCTTTTATCCTCTTTCTTCTCTGAACATAGGTAGCTCTGGCATTGCCAGTGTTGCCTGGATACCAGTGTCTTTTCTCCAGGAAAGTTACCACTGAAACACCGAATAAAGGAAACCGTGTCAGGTAGCTTACTTTCAGTGAGGTGCTCTCAGATAGAGATTCTTGTATCGTTCTTACTCATTTGCTTAGGTCTCCATCACTCTTCATGCAGTTTAAATTTATGACTTACACTTTATCTGATTTTCTACCAACATGATGTTGAATTCCAGTTCTGTTTACCTCTTGTTCTGAACCTCTTTTTATATATCTAGAGTACATCTAGTAGCTAACAACAGATTAATTTTTGCATCAGAACAACAGAGGTAATGAAGTGGAGATGGTGAAGAAAAAATCTCTTATTTCAAGAATAAACCAGTAATTTCATGCTGTAGGCAGGAACGGAGCTCCTGTAACAGCTTCCCATGATTTAGGTTCAATGTACCCTTTCAGAGTCCCTCCTGAGCACAGTCATTCTCTGAGAGGTTTCTAAATGAATCTGATATTACTAACACACCTCTCCCAAAGGTCTTTCCTCATCTCTTCTGGACAGGAACTCTTCAGCCTCTGTTGTCTGTCCTTAGAGGTAGATGCTCTAACGTTGCCTGCTGGAAGAGAGCCACCTCTCGCAGGTGGCTGACAGTCTCACCCATCTTAAGTCCAAACCCCTTCTTCTTTCTCTAGCATGTATCCACACTGAGCTGCTTACCAGAAACCCTGTCGTGATCACTGTGCTGCTGCTCACCCACCCACCCAGAAGAGGCAGGGCCGGGAGCAGGCACCAGGGAGATGTGGGACCTGGACAATGGAAAGGGTTGCCAGGACCCTAAAGGTCATTTCCAGGGCTCACTTCCATTTTTCCCCCTCTTCATTAGAAGTCACTCTAGAAGACCATGAGCAGCACTCCTGTAGGGCATATATGCTAGCTCCCCCACCTGCTTGTTTGCAGACATCAAGACCAGTCTCTTAGTTCATTACAAATATGAAGTTTTTGCAGTGGCTTTCTTCCTCTCAGTTGTACTGCTGCTACTTCACTTGTAAGCCTCTAATCCACTGAAGTCAAGAGAAGCAGAAATTTATCTCTGTGGTGAAAATTGTTTTAAGCAAGTCCATGCAGTAAGCTGATGATAAAAGAGGGAGAGGAGCAGTAGGGCCACTCAGTGCCTGTTTCCTGACACTTCCCAGTATGACTGAATGAGGGCAGTTTATGCAGTGCCTGTGTGGGAGATGGGGAGGGTATTGCATCCCTGCAACCATCTAAAAGCCTGCTGGATGTGTTTAAAATCTTACAAAAACGGAGTGTTGGTTGGTTGCTGGAATGGACTCTTGTCTGTTTATATCATGGTATGGTGCAACAACAACAGCCTCAAGATATATTTATACTTGGCCCAGGGCAGTTTTTGCTATAGCACTTGATATATTCTATCATATATTAAAAAAAAAAAAAAAAAGAAAGAAAGAAAAAAAAAGTCTTTATAATTCTCTTCTAGGTACCGCAGTTATTTCTGTCTTATTCCTAAAGCAGACCGTGAGGGCTGCTGATATATTGGGTAAGTAAAGCGTTTGCTAATATGGACATGTGTGTTGCCATATGCTTAGCAAGCTGTAACTCTCACGCAGCCCCCCACCTTCACACTCCCACTTCACCAAGCAAGTGTTTCGAGGCAGATACTTACAAATTTGGGAAGAGGTGACAAAAAGAGGGAGAATCTTCAATGCATGTGAAAAAGACTGCACTCCCAAATCCTCTGCTCCTATAACCATAATTCATTCCTTATGTGTCCTTTTGCTCAAATTTATTTTCATTGTCTGCTTTTGCCTCTGAGGTTGTATTTAGTATTATCTTTATGAGTACGACACAATTCTAATAAAAGCAATGATACTATTGAGTTATTCATTCAAATACAAGATTTTTTTTTCTTACTGCATAGACATTGCACAAAAATTCAAGCCCAATTAAAAGTGACAACTTCCCTTTTGGTATTAATTTTATCACTTCAAAGAGCAAATAATCATGTTGTCAAGAGTTTTGTTGGGAAACATGGTCTTCATTGCAAAAGCATGTCAACTTTTTGTGCGTGTCCAAGATTTTTTTGCATATCAAAACTGCCCTGCTTGTAATAGCGAGAGACAAGCAGATTTCAAGGTCTTACACCAAGCCATCTCGACAGGGACAATGCACCTGATGTGGTCATGGGGCAGCTGGTGTTACTGTGGGGTTCCTAGCATCTAGGCTTGTTTGTCCATACTATAACAAGGACATCCCAGCTGTTCTCATGAATGTTTTGGAGAGATTTGTTCAGTATTGTTCCAAGAATACTCTATAATATTTATTTAGGTTTGGGATCCAGGTTTGCCAACTCAGCTGCTACATTCAAAATACCTCCCCCCCCAACCTGATCATGTTTCCCTTATGGCCTTATACATTGTGTGTTTCTTTAAGTAGCGTTCAGCACTGATTTATTTTATTTCTGTGAGTTAGACTTTGCAAGAAGGATTTAACAATGTTGCTACATTCCATAGGAATGAGCTGTATGATGGGAAATATGGTGATGTTTTTGCAAGCACATAAATATAGAACAGTTCTGCTTTTCCAAAGAAACTGTGTGCAATAGCAGTGCCAGCAAAGTCCTCCGGATGTGCTTTGTTTTGTATTCCTGAGCATTGTATTCCATACCAATCTATAGGTTTGCCAAGAATTTTAAAGATTAGTTGAAAAAAAAATTGATTATCTAATATCTTCCTTAATCCAATACAGCTTATGAGCTCAGGATCAGCTCACTTCTATCTAGATACCTCAATGAACATCTGTGTTTGTCAGCTGGCTGTCCACAAAGCAGAACTTCCAGATTTTTATTAAAAGCACAATAATGTAAGTTCGACCTTGAAAAGGGGCCCCAGCAACCCAATGGCTGAACAGTTTTTTTGCAGATCAGCTTTTTATAAATCAGTTCATAGGTCTGCAACTGCATCAGGGAGTGGCCAAGATGTTGGCTTCGTGACAGCTTTCACATAAGCATTGGACTGGAACATATCTGTTGCACTTCATGTTTCCAGGGCAGGTCTGTAGCTGGTGCAGACCTCTGTGACCACAGTGACTTCAGGAGAGCAGTGAATATTTTGTTGGTTAATGATCTAGCTGTCTGCCTCGGTAAGCAACTTGTCCTTTCAGTTTAGGAGAAGTTTATGTGACCGGCCTTGTGTCCGTGAGAAATACAAAGGATAGATTTTCTTTTGTCATGCACTTGGTATTAGAATTGAGCATATTGGAAAATGTGTTGCTGCATTGGAACCCTAATCCATGAGGCTTTACTGACAGCTTTTTTCATATTTCCAGAATCCTTAGGGTCTTTAATAAAAACTATACCAGATATGTTGGGTCTTTATTAAAAATTATAATAGATAGGACCTACAAATGCCAGGCAGTCCAAATACCTAAGCTCAGATCTGATTAAATGGACTCCAATTTTCTTCTGGAAGCTATTTCCAAGTGATCTTGAGAGAGATGACCATGATTATGTGTATTACCAACATAATGTTCCTTTTTCTTTAAAGGAGGAACGCTGGCAGTAGCAGGGACGTACTTGTTGGTGACATTCGCTCCAAATGTACCCCAAGAGCTCACAGCAAGACGAGTACAGAATAACTTAGTAAGCTGGCCTTTCTTGGTATATGTGGTGAGTATTTGGTTCACACTTCTTAAACAAGAAGAACTGTGATTTTTTTGCAGCATTAAGAATTAGTGGCAGAAAAACTGCTGCTGAAGATACACACATTGTTCCCTGTGTGGTTATCATAGGAGAGAGAGCAAGTCTTTGGGTCATCGTCCTAGTTGCCAAGCTGATGAACCAAAAGATGTCTTTGGAGCCAGGGGAAAGTCACAGTTGTGCAGAACTGATGAGAAAGAAAGATTTTATTTTTTTTAGTGGGCTTGAGGGAAAACCTAAATATTGGCACTGCTTATATTTCCTATGTGTGTGTTCATGCCACACTGGCTGCATATACACATTAGTTACAGTGCTTTCCTGGAATTTGATGAAATTCTGCGTTTGAAAATTAGGTTATGTATCCTCTTGATCCTGCTTTATTCTATCATATCACTCTGTTTTATCCCCACATTGCTGAGGCTGCCCAAAAGGAGTTTTGTACGGAGCTGAAATGTGGAGAGATGGACTGCTTCACTGCCACTCAGGTTAATCTGAACCTGAGTTTGAATTTAAACACAAAAATACCATTTTGATTAAAGTATCCATATACAAACTTCAAATTCCATTAATCTTCTTTGATGTATCTAATTAACATCAGGAGCAAGACAAGAGTGAGTAGGAGGAATTTCTCCCTCTCTTCCCCTCTGGAATGCTGAAAATTTGTTCCTCCAGCTGAATGCAGAAGATGCAATATGGGAGTTTCAGAAGTGGTTACTTTTTTCCCAATACATTGCCTCACGTGGGTTAGATTATTAGCACACAGGTTTTTCTCAGTAGGAAGCTGAGTTAGAAAGCCACTGAGTAGACAGATTAAGGATCTTAATCTTTTAGCCAGCCTGCAGGCTTTCAGTGCATCTTAGCTATCCATGAGACTACTGATTAAGCAGAAAGTACATGCTAACACAAAACAAAAGTTGATCCTCTTGCTCTATTTTTGTGTATTTTTAAAGCTCCTGTAATTTGGCGATCCAGCTCAATGAAAGAATTGATGGTCATGCTCCCCAGATCATAGCACGCACTTTCAATCAGGCAATGCCCAGAAGTTTTGGGGTGCTCAGTAAGGTTATCTTCAGCCTCAGCAAGAGCTTCAGAAAAATCCATGGAGCTAGCAGAGGGAGAGGGACTCTTTTAGGAGGTGGTTCGCAACAGGAGGCTCAGTTGCTGCTTGCTGGAGGACCCTATCTTTTTCCTACTAAATATACCCTTCTACCATCCACTTCCACCTGTAGGTACCAAAACAGCCCGTCATTTAGACTTTAAACTCCTGCTTCATGCTTCTGCGTAGAGATGGTGGAGGGAGACAACTCTTCATCCACACCCACTACACCAGAAATTTCTGTGCTGTCTGGTGTTCACATTTTCGTAAAGCTAACAGGTAGCTGAAAAAGCTTTTCCCTATCTGAGGACATTTTGACTTTGTTTCAGGAAGAACACAGTTGAATGCCTGGGAAGACTGTCCTGTCTTCTTCTTAGGAGAAATTATAAGGAGGTGATGAGTAACCCTTGGACTTTCTTTCCCCTCGTCTCTCCTTTGCCTGCCTTAACCAGCATCCAATTCTACAGCATGGATTACAGGGAAGAATGGAGCAACTATACAGCAAGTCTTGTTGTCTCAACAACAAATCAAGCTTGATTTGTTCCTTCTGCTCCCTGGATTCATCTGCTTTGAGCTTCTTGTGTCAAAAGAAAAGGGAGGAGTGAAAGGCTCCACAAGAGACCCTAAGATACCAGCCTGATTAGCCTGAGATGCTGCTGGAAGTTCAAGCAAACCCTGCTGTAAACACGCTTTTTTGGACAGAGAACAACTTTCATATTTGTTTGTAAAATTTCCAGCACAGGTTGACTGCCGACATATAAAAAAGCACAGCAGAAGTTGCAGAGTTTCCAGTATAAATATATATAGAAAGGAGACAGCACAGCACTATAATGCAGTCCAACAGTCTTTCTAAAAGTAGCCCTGAAGTGTGGTCTGCTGAGAAATACAAAGCCCCAGTGGTACAAAATGTTCTGTGTGGGTGATAAACCATCCCCATGTGGCACTCCACTGGCATCAGAGGAGTTCTGCAGAAATAGCCTGTAGTTCCCACATGAGACAACTTTGAGTCACCTTCTGAGGCTTTGCAGTAGCATACTCATGTCTGAGCAAGAATCACTGTCCTAGCTTGCTTTTTTTTTTGCTTTTTTTTTTTTGTTTGTTTATGTGCACTTTGAGTCACTACAGAAGACATCAATTATGGATGTAGCTCTTAGGCTTCCCTAAACAGTAGTGTAGCGAACACTGGGCTGTTAATATTTAATCTCTGTAAAATCAGGTTCAAAGCATTTCTGCTTTTCCTTCAAAGCGCCTAGAAGACCCTCCTGGTTCATTGGTCCCTGTATTGCTATATGTCCCAGAAAAACTGTCGAGGCAGACAATGTGGTATTTGTTCTGGTGCCTTCTGGTAATGCTTAGAAACATGGAAAACATCACAATTCTAAAAATGTTGATGATGTGGGCTTGAGGAGACTTCGGTACAGATTAGTTATAATGGTAAAAATGATTGTAAACAGGTCAAGTTCCTTCAGTTCCTCTGAGCAGAATGTATGAAGCTGATACAATCTACACGCTTCCCCTTCCTGGTCTCTATATTTAACACGACCACAGCTATCAGCTATGAGACCTAACACCATTTCGGGTAATTCCCAAGACACAATCACAGGTAACAGCCAGTACACCCCAGGAGGTCCTGTCAGGAGCCATACACTCCACTTCAGTGCAAGTGTCCCCTCCCTTGTCTGCTGATTCAAGGTGACCTGTTGGTGGGAGGAGAAATTTGGCTTCTGGGCAGCGTGAGGTGAGAAAAAATTGTTTGAATTTTATGCTCAGAGTGCAAGAGCGGAGTTTTCTTGGTGGGTTTGCTAGCATTGGCAAGAGACGAGCTGATGACAGGGTGAGGACCAACATGGATGCAGCTAGCAGTGGCAACCTGCTTCAGCTGTGACTGGTGGTGCTCAGCACTACCTGCCACTCTGGGGGCTGGGGAAGAGGGTGCTGAGTGCCACAGCTGGTGTTAGGGAGCAGTTTGGGCTAGCGATGATCCCTGAGCTTTATCTGTCGAAGATTTGGGCTGGGGGAGGTGGTGGACATTCAGGTTTGCACCAGCACCAGGGGAGCAGGTCTTGCAGGGTCCCTGTCCCCAGAGCACCACCCCACATGCCCATCATGGAAAAGGACACATAGGACATCTCTGCAGCTTCTTTCTTAGTATGGGTTAGTATGGGTTCCTTTCCATGTGGGGGATATTTATTTAGCACAGCTTTCTCCCATTCTGTTAGCAATTGTTCACTGTCAAAATAGCAACTGAAGCAATCTGAAGGCTGTTGTAGCTGCAGCTGGGTAACATGATATTCCCCTCTGGCCCTGAGATGTGTTTGCCAGGGGCACAAACAGCAAATCTGCTACCTTCACTTCTCCTCTTGAATTCCCTCAAAGCCCTGTTGCAGTTTTTCACAGGGAGGCCAAGATGAACTCACAAACCTGCAGTTCCTTACATGACTTCTACCTCGTTTCCCAAATCAAACATACCCAGTGTTGTGCTGTTGAATGAAGATGCAGAGGCTGGCAAAGTTGCTTGGTGTGAGACTTTTGTACCACATGATGTCCTGCCTTTCACCTCTGGGTGCAAGCCTGAGGGGAAGGGAAGTCGCTCTGGAGGGAAAGAACAGCACTCAGCAGGAGATTACAAATATTATTGAGCTATGATTAGTCCAGGAATGCTTTTTTTTTTAACCAGCAGCAAAATGTTTTCTTATATCCAAACAGTTTACAAAAGCAAACAAACAAAAATAAATCATTTAGTTTTTATTTTGTGATAAATGTTTGTGTTTTTTGTTTGTTTGTCTGTTTTAAGGAAGTTGGAATAAAATCCAAATTTGCATTTGTCATGTTTTGAGATGCAGTTGTCTCTCAGCTGCCTTTGGGAGCAAGGGATCAGTGTGAAGGTAAATCAGAAGCGAATAGCTATGCAAATCAAAAGCATAGCTATGTTCTGTTCATATTTTTGTACACTACTAAACTGGGGGAGGTGTGAGTGTGGTAAAGAATTTGAGTTGCTAAATGTAGCTGATGACTGCTTTCCTAGTGCACTCATTCTCCAAAAATGAGAAATCAGCTATGTTGCATTATATAACCGCTGCTGCGAACCGCTCAGTTGCTTCTTTTGAGATTTCAGCAGTGCAACACCCAGATCTTTTTTATTCTAGTGATGGGTGAAGAGTGGAGAGACATTATAAAACACAGAATGGCATGTTGGTGACAGAACCAAGGGGCGAGATATGAGGACTTTCTATGGTTTGTTTCCCTCGTAAAACAATGAAAATAACCAGATTCAGTAATGATGACATTCTCTTTTTTTGTCTAATTTTCCCCATTCGGTTTCTCCCGATGTGCACCAACAAACTTCTCTTTTTCCATGAGGTCCCAGCATTCAAAACCCTCTGAGCTTCACGGGAGTTTTCTGGACTTGCAGTCCCTGCTTCCTTTAGGCAAAGAGAGGCATCTGGGCAACTGCCTTATGCCGTGGGTTGGAGGGGGAATACCCATGCTTTTGAGATATGCAGACCTGGAAGCTGAGTTGATCCCCGGAGCCATTTCATCTGCCCAGCCTTTCAGCACAGAGAAGGGCGTAGTGGTGACTTGGGCAGCTGATAATAGCAGGGAGCTTCTGCCGAGGTGGTGATGCAGTGAGACACGTTAACAGCGAGTCAGTAAATTCAGCCGTCTGTCAGATGTTATTGAGGGAGCAAGTCTGGACCGTGCACAGCGTACGTAAAACTGCTTCAGCAGCTGCAGATGTCCTGCCGTGTGGTCTGCTAGTGTGTCACTGAGCTTTTCCAGGTAGGCTCCTGACAGGTAGCCTGCGATTTGAGAACCACCACGGGAAATAAGTGCTTTCTCCCTCGTGATGTATGGCAGAAAGCCTGAGCAAAAAGACAGTGCTTTGGGGGATTTTCCTGAGTAGGCTGGGGGAGAAGGGCAAGAAAGTAGCAAAAATAATTTTGCTTGTCACAAGGAGTGATGCTAGCAATGCCATAGCTAGGCGGAGGGGCTGCTGTTCCTCCAGGTAAGCAGGAGGAATTTGCTTCATAATTTCTTACTCTGTAGGAATTATACACACAGAGGTTCTGTAAAAAATGTTTCCACTGAACATGGATATCTTTACTGTCACCTTAAAAAGTCTTCCAGTGCTACCAGTGAGAAAATACAGCTCAAAGTGCAAAAATGAGACATTTCAAAGACTTTGAATGAAGCATTTATTACACAGTTTTACAGCTCTAACTTCCTTCTCTTTTATTTCCAGATTTTAGAAATTATAACATTCTGCATTCTCCTCTATTTTTACAAAAGAAAGGCTGTGAAGCACATCATGATTTTGTTAATGATGGTAGCACTACTGGGTAAGAGCACATTATTCACTTTAATGTTCCTGTCTGTTACTTGGTGATTCCTTGTCGTTCAGTCCCCCCCAGCTAGTTTAGATTAGGGCCACTTCAAAGGAGTGTGCTGAAGGAGAATCACTGAAACATTTCACATCATTTTGCTGTGGTCTTTTTGAAGAGAAAAGCCAATTATGGAACATAGTTTCTGTGCTTATTGCTGGGGCTATTTCTTTTTACAGATTTCTTTATATGAATACGGTGTGTGCAAGGGTGCTCTGAACCTTTTTTACCTAACACTTCGACTTTAGATCTTAGGGAAGCGGGTTGTTTGAAAGTGTTTTGTAGAACAGGCCTAGCTGTGAAAATCAGTTATGTAAACTAGAGCAGTTTAAAACCTTGTAAGCACACTGTAAGCATATGCAGTGATACCCCGTGTCTGTATGGGAACTTCTCTTTGAAGTATCTCTGCCTGTTTGCATATGCAACATTTATACTTTACCACCTTTCTGGAAGAACAACAAAAATTCAGTGGGTCGCTGAAGTTTTCCCTCTGATTCATGGTGCCACCAGAAAACAATCAATGCCCAGAGAAACAAGGGAGGTCATTTTACCAGGCAGTTATCAATAAAGTCAAATTTGAACCTGTTTTGAAAAATGTCAGGAGGCTGTCTCCAAAGTTCTGCTTGCAGGTGTATATTAAGAATTTGCTGAGCCCATATCTTCTCCCACCTTTGTCTTGTAAACTTTATGAAACCCTGATGGGACACCACTTTTTTTTTTTTTTTTTTTTCTTTCTTTTTTGGTTAAAGTGAGAGGTGTTTGATCTGTGCCATTGAAGACAATGGTTATCTTTTCACTGAGCTCAGTGGGAGCATGTATCAGCCTGCAAAGACCTCCAGAGCATGTTTCTAGTGGAGGTGGTCCAAATTGTTTTGATTCAACTAAATTTCAATAAAGTTTACCAGTTATACTATTTAGATTTAACTGAATGTGAAAAACCCTTGCAGGTTTCTCAACCACCTTCTTCCAGCTCTCTGCCTGTTTTCTTACCCAGCTGAAAAGCTCAGACTTTCTTTCAGATCTACCTTTTTGGGACAGTCCACCCATTAAATTTCCCAGCACCGAGAACATTAAGGTCAGTAGCTCTGCAGGACCCATGAAGGATTTTCTTGCTCCCCTGCATGAGGAAGAGACTGAAGAGCCCCCAAAAGCCATCAGTCTGTTTAACTGCTCTTGGTTTAGAAGAGCATGAGCCCAGCCAGCCCTCAGCTCATAGCACGGAGCCTGGCAGCTCTGGCAGAGCTCGCAGGGTTTCCAGCCCTGCCGTGCTGCTGGGCGATGAGCCTGAAGATCTCAGGATGGATTTCCACACTCAGCTGATGCAGTTTTGGGCAGACCCACCAGGAAGGCTTCTCTGGGCCAAGTCTAGGAGACCTGGCCTTTCACGCTGTGAAGCTCTTGTGCTTATTTTGCTGTGGAGCCTGCCTGCCCTGACGCCACCGGTGCCAAAGGGACACGTGGGGCTGCTGAACAGCAGCCGAGCTGCAAAGCCATGCCCCAGCAGGCACTGACTGCAGCTCGGTGGTCAGGCTGAAATCAAGCAAAAACAACAACTTCAGCTGGTGGCTGCTGAGGTTTTGGTGAGCATATGCAGCTTCAGGAAAAATGTGTCATTATTTCTGCTCTATTAGAAAAGACACAAACAAACAAATCCGGGTTCATGGGAACTTTTGAAATCCTGACAATTCCCTTGAGCAGGAAATCCAGAACTGTGGCTGGCTCCAGCTCTCGCAGCTGTCTTGGTGCCTGGTAGTCCCTGCAAAGCCACACTGCTTCGTATCTAACTTCATGCTCAGCAAAGCCATGGGATGCTGAGAGGGGGCTCCAAACCATCCAACACGTTCGCTGCCCTTGGAGGGCCTGGCTGCAGGAGAGGCAGACAAGGGTGGGAGCCTCCCTGCAGAATATTCTCAGTGGCAGCTTGTGGAAGGGGATTTCTTCCTTTTCTAACATCTGAATAGATACATTCCCAGTGGAGCGTTCATACAGATGTAAATAAAATGTAGAAAGGTTTATTTAAGGAGAAGGATTTGTGTTTCAGTGGATATTAAAGCTGCTTTCATTCTGAAGAAAGTACAGAGGTGATTGTAGAACCTGAAAATATTTTGCTTACTGTAAGCCTGCAAGTTCCTTTGGTGAGAATTATCTTACCTCATGTATATACTGGGAGTTATCATAAGTTTGGAGGGAAATATTTCAGATTAAAGTGGGATTTCTGAGTTTCCTGCTCTAACAGCTGGAAAGTGACATCATTTGTCACGCTAGCTTTGGGGGGATTGTTCTATCAGAGACAGAAAAAACATTTCCTAGGTTTTGAAACCTGTTCCAGGGCAACATTAGCTAAAAGAGCATCCCAAATTTCAAACAACCAAAACCAAAACAACAACAACAAACAACATAAACCAACAAATCCTTATCCTTTTTTTTTTTTTCTGATTTTTATTTTTATTTTTAACTATAAGGGATAGAAACTGCCCTTCATCAGGAAGAATTTTTCAGCAATCTTTCCTCTTAGTTGGACAATTCAAACCACTGATTTTTACCTCTAAGTATTCTTTTAAAGTAAGTAACTATCCCATGTCATAGTGCAAATATCAGTTTTTTTTGTGGAGGTGGGGCTTGGGTGTATTTTTTTGACTCTTTATCATATCATTAGCCCCAGTGCAGGCCAGGATTTGACCTACTCTGCTCACTTTTACTGCTGTGTTTGGTAAACCACACCACCTATTTCAATTACCGTGCAGGAGGCGAAGCACTAGGTGCAAAGTTGTCATTAAAGCAGTGAGTTTCATGATGGGGAGCAGGATCATCAGCAGCTATATGTAACTCTTAAACTCCTCCTGAACTTTTGGACTAGCTGTAAGAAAAAGGACTTGAAACCAAAACCCCAGACCTGAATCCACTCCTCTTCCCCCACCTTTTCTCTCAGCCCCTGGCCTGAACTCTTTGCACAGCGCAGCTCTCCTTGCCAATCTGAATTTTTGCAGCGACAGGAGGATGAATCAGACACCGAAATCCAACACCCCCCAGCTCTGGAAGAGGGTGGAACTGGATCCCAGCTGGGGGACGGTGCTCCTGACGATGAATTACCTCCCTTCGAAGGTCATCTCTGCACCCTGACTCTTCTTAACCATTTTCAGTTTGTTTTGAATTTGTTACGTTTTCCTTGCAGTAATCACAGCCTACTTGGTTTTGCTTCGACAAGCCAAGAGCGCTCTCCAAAAGGAAATCTAAAGTAACTCTGAGCTCAGCTGTCAGCCCCTTTTCCAAAAGATGTGCACTGCAAAACTTCTCTGCCCTGGTGACATACATATCAAAAGCATCGTCTGCTTTGTTTTATAGTGGACTTTTTTGTGGCGATGCACTGACAATGACTAAATGGATTGAAAACACATTATTTGGGGGGCTAGATCCAGTGATGGTCTTAAGAGCCTGGTCCTGGAAATGCAGTGCATACCCCTGTTTTCTACCTGGAATCTGTGTATAACCTATGGGGTTTAGGTCCTTAGGGTTAGGTCCTTGGTGACGTGACCCCAAAAATTGGCTCTGACCTGCTTTGACCATCTCCTGTCTCAGCAGAGAACTCCTGAGGGTGAGCAGCTATTTTTGGCTGCTGGTGTCACAGGCAGGGTGCAATTAGGTGTCCCCGCTGCTCAGCATGGATAACGAGACCTCTCAGCACCTCTGCTGAATAATGCAGTGAGGGCTCCAAATTAGCAGCTGGGGCTAAATAAAATGTGTCTGAGAGATGTGGAGGCTGTTGTAGTCCTCTGCCTGGTAGCCCAGCATTTCGGGCGTGCGCCCAGCAGTGGGAAATGGATGCAGTTCTTGCCTCGACCGCAGCTCAGCCTCTTTCTCTCTCACATATACACAGTGCCACCTTGCAAGGTTTTATCAGGCTCTAACCTCAGCCAGTCTGGGGAAACCTGGGACAGATGCAGGGTGGCAGTGCTAAAAGAACTGCAAAGCACAGCACACGCGGAGTTAAGGTCACTCTGAGTTTAGGAAGCAATACAGCAAGTGTTGATAACATCACACACTTGTTTTTAGGTGCCCAAACTCCACCTCAGCATCTTTTAAGCTATCAGGCCTGTGGCACCGCCCTCACTGATGCTCTGAGGTCACTGCTGTGAATCCTGCCCTGCTAATTTTTCCCTTTCCCTTTCAGCATCGCTCACTGTCATCGCTGTAAAGGCTGTGGCCAGCATGATAACGCTGTCTGTGAAGGGGAAAATGCAGCTCACTTATCCCGTTTTTTATATCATGCTGATTTTAATGGCAACTTCTTGTGTTTTCCAAGTCAAGTAAGTGAGTTTCTACTTATCCCCTCACCTTTGTACCCGTTTATCTGTCAGTGCTGTTCAGTACTGATACTAACTCCAGATACAAATTGCACTTAAGGGTAACAAATTCCTGACAGAGCCTTTACAGATGCATGAATTGCCTGCAGCTGATTATATTGTTTGTTTAGGCTTTATTTCTCAGTTTATAATTGATTAATTACACAGATGCTACCTCCTCTCATTATCACCTTATACAAGGTTTTCCCAAGAGTAGTTCTTGTTTTGGCACAGGTACTGAACTCGTTAAATGAAATTTATGTTCCTGATTTATTTTATTTTTTTGTTACTTTCAGAAATATTCATTGTTGAATACTCAAATGGCCACGTTTACCCTCATTATGCACCTCTTTTCCCTAGCTTATGTTACTTATTGGACTGGAAGAGAGTTTACCCTCACTGTCTTCTGTTAAATCTGCATGTTGCTCTTTGCTATCCTGTATGTGATTTTTTTTAGGAAATTGTTAGCTTTTGGTGAGCGGGGGACATCGGAGTTTTCCCTGCTGGCCTCTGGCCTGTTAAGTGATTGTTTTATGCTGCCTTTGCAGATTGCTGGGGGTGGCAGCCCAGTAAAATATGACTTGCAGCTGAACAGAGAGTCCATTCCCTTCATGCTGGTCCCTGCGCTTCAGGTGCTGATAGCATCATTCAGTAATCCCATCTAGACTGCTCCAGTGTTTACTTGCATGATTATTTTCCGGTAGAAGAGCCAGCCCAGCTTTCCCGTGGCAGAACACACCATTCCCATGTGGGATCAGAAAGCCCGTGCGTTATTGTGCAGTGACTCTCCATGGCTGACTCAGGAACTCCGCCGTAGCAGATAATGGAGTGATTTACATCCAGCTTGTCTTTGCCCTGGGAGAATGGCTCAGGGCATTCAAAATAGGAAATAAAAGTTCGGTAAATAGGAAGCTGCTGAATTAACCTCTCCTTCTTGCCAATTCTTTCTTTCTTTTGCTGGGTCAAAATTAAAATGTGCCCATTTCATTCCCTGAAGTCAATGTCTCTTCCTGTCCACTCTGTTGGACACATTTTCTAATGGAGACAGTACTGTCAGTCTAATTTTTTTCATTTTATTTGTTTCCTCTCTTATTTTATTTGACTGTCAGGTTAGCTTACAGCAGCCTGGGCTGCTACATCCTCCTGGATTCAGTGCTGGGCCTTGGTATCACTATTTTAGTCTCTGTGACCGAGTTTGTTGCAAATGGGAGAAAATAATGAGGTGTTTTCAATGACTTCAAAATCCTGACTATCCTGTGGATATGTAGGATTTCTTTATTTTTAAAGCACCATGGAGACTGTTCAACAGTTGCTAAAATAACCATGCAATTACTTTAATGGCTAAAACAGATCCAAGCTTGGATTTTTACTGTTCACATATATTGTACCAGTGAAACATTTAAGTGTGGTTCTTTTTATAGATTTTGAATACACTCTGCAGACCCCTGATTTTTCTCTTTCGGTTTGAAATTCCCTGTTCTTATAACAGAGTATCTGTTGGTGCATCCGAGAGTTCGCCCTCATGATTCATCACCTCGTGGGTAAATGCTGATAGCTCTGGTCTCCTTACAAGTGGGTTAATGCTTTGGCTTTTTGGTCCACTGATGCAGACTGTGTGGGCTGCTCCATGCCCAATGTTTCAGTCCTGCAGGTTTGTGTGTAGTTTGGGCTCATATGGTCCTGCACACTCTTGCCTCACCCTTCTGGTGAGGGTTTGTGTCACCTTTCTTAGGAGGAAGGCCAAGAGTTTCCAACCCAAGGTTTGCAGCCACCTCCCTGGACTTTCCCGGCAGGACAGAGTGTGTCTGGGGTGTGATTGCATGGATAAACATACAAATACGTGTTTTAGCCAAGTTGGATGGAGCCGAAACAGCAATGTGGGTTTCAGCTAAGTGAAGCATTTCCTACGAGGACTCATACACATGTCCACACTGGAAATATACCCTTACACAACCTGTTTAATTTAGAGCGACTTGTCCCTGGCTGCTTGCAGGCAGCACCGCTTCCAAGAGCTGAGGCACACCATCGGCAGCAGTACCCGAGCATTCCTCCCTTATCTGTGGAGGACGATTTTTCCAACAGTGCTTCAAAGGTCTCTCCAATGGCAGTCTACAGCCAGAAGAATCCACTCCAACCTTCTTGCTTTGCCCTACTTTTTTTGTATTTTGCAGTCAAAACCAGAAAGTAAATTCAATACACACACCCTTCTGTCAAGGGCTGTTTGCTGTCCTGGTAAGAAATGGTCACACTTATTGAACTGACAGAAACTGGCTAACTTTACTTAAAGTGCAATGAACATCCTACAGCCATGAGGTGCAATAACGCTTGTTTTCCAGGTTCTTGAACCAAGCAATGCATCTGTATGAAGCAACAGCAGTCGTGCCCATTAATTTCATGCTCTTCACCACGAGCGCCATCGTTTCAGGTTGGTTCCCGGCCTTCTGTCTATACAAAATAATTTTCTACACACCAAGTTTTCAAAGAATCACCGTCTCTGAACAGGACTGCTCAAAGCAAACCACTCGTGTTTGTCTTCACCAAAAGTTTTTCCTAAATGACAGGTGTTTAAGTCCTGAAAAATGAGTGAGTTCACAACTTTCAAAGCAAAATAAAAATCATCAAATTCTAGCATTTCCAGAATTGATATGTACAGCTTGCTATGCCTTGCTGGCTTACTAGAATTACCTGCATTTATCTTAGCCTCATCTTGACATCCAGCAAATGCATTTACCATGTGCACGCCAGCCTCCCTGTATCCGAACTGGTAGAGTAATTTTAACAGCCTGGCAAACTACTCAAATGACAACCAGCTGTGTTTCATAGTAGTTAGTGTATATTCAGTTTCAGAAGGTGGAATTCTAGGTTAAGTGAAGGAAATAAAATGACTCCAAAGACCTTTTAAGCATTTAACATTTTATTCTGGGTGAGAACTCTGAACTTGGTGCTGTTAAAGAGGGACTGCAAATCTTGGAAATGGTGCGGAGTGTAAGAACACGAGCAGGGAGGACGACTAAGATGCTGTATCAGCAACGAGCCAAAATGATTGTGTTGTTATAACATTTATGACTCATTTTAACACACACTGGGGGCTTTCCTGTCATTGCTGTGCAGGAGTTTCTCATGCAGAGCTGCCATTAATGAGAAGGGGAGTTAGCTTCGTGCACAGATTGCCTCGGCACCTGTGTTAGAGGAGACCTACACTTTGTGACTGAGAAGAGACTTTCGCCAAAAGGGGGTTGCATTCTTGCAGCCATATGGGGAATTTGGCCTTGTGCCTCCTTAAGAGATCAAGTACCTATTCAGGAATGGCTTAATAGCTTTGAGACTGGATACACATGCATTTGCACCAGGTTTGTTAAACCAGCGTGGGGCTTAGAAGAACAAGCTCTGCTGAATCTTGGTGGGGTGTTTGTGGAAGATACCTCCTCTCGTGATTCCTCCATCCCCAGTTGCAGCCTTTGAAGATACAGTCATGCTTCAGTGGCTTTGGTTCACACTCTGGTGTTTCTAAGCAAAACTATGCTCATCAGTGGTTTAAAGCCAACATACTTGGCTGTGAACTGGGGCAGCTGAGATCCAGATACACATCTGGTTCTGTCACCTCCACTGCAGAGGTGCTAATTCCTGTTAGAGGGGTGACCAGAAGAGTTAGTGATCCCTTCAGCCGGAGAGATTTGGCAAACTTGGCTGCTGGAGCCTTTAACTCGGTGTAAACATCAGGGACAGAGCTAGTTATCGAAAACCTGTTCCCAATTGTAGCTAAGATGTCCACATGGTCTGCTGGAGTGGCTTAACTAAATCCATGAAGAACCTGTTAGCTGTACTGGTACGACTCTGCTTGCGAATAAGACCTTGAGTTTGACCTGCATAAAAACTGTTGCTGACAATGCAAAAAAATACCTGCATCTGTGCAGTTACTAACACAGCACATGCTCCAGCCTGATAGACTAAATCTTCTCCAGTCCCTTGCAGTATCTCGAGAAAGCCTAGATAATGGAATATGGGCACATAACGTGAACCCACAGCTACGTGTATTAATACCATATTTGGGATTTTTTTCTCCACTTGAGCATGACACTGCTTGTGACCCTCCCAGCTGTAATTCATATCACTTGGAATCCAGTCAAGATCTGCAATTCTTGTTTCTGTCACATTCCAGGGGTCATATTTTATCAGGAATTCCAAAGTGCAGCTTTGCTGAGCGTGTTCATGTTTCTGTTCGGGTAAGTGTGCCGGCCTAAAATCTGCACTAACGCTTCCACTGCAACAGCACTGCCTCGCGGAACCCCTTCTTTTCTCAGTAAGAAGAAACCTGTCTTGTTATTAAAATATTATGGAATAGCCATTATAGTAGGATAAAAAAACATTAAAGGGAAGATTAATATCTGTGCTTCAGGGGTTTGGAGGCCTGGTTTTGAATCCAAATTATGTAAAAATGTGAGACACTTATGAACTACTAATCCCATGATGGAATGAAAAACCAGCAGCATGTGTTCCTCCTGCAGGAAGGAGAAATTACTGCTCTCTACCAAAGATCATGTGTTAGGGGGTGCTGATACAACTGCAAGGAATCTCCTCCCCTGTTACCTTCCACGTGCGTGTCCAGCTGCCCTTTGCTGCCATTAGGCACGGGCAGTTCTAGGAGCTGCTCGCTTACAAGGGTCTTGCTGTGCCAAGGAAGGCACAGCCTGTCTGCTGAAAGGTTCAGAGCATGTGAAGAAGCTGCTGCCAATGCTTGAAGAAGGCCCCAAGTGTTGTGAGAGCAGAGATCTGCTGGCCACCAGCACAGTAACAATTCAGGGGACAGGTGAACATTACTCAAGGACAGGCATGAGATGGTTAAAAGCACCTCCCAGAACCGCTGGACCTGTCTTGCCACCAAGCTGTCAAACAGCTCGGGCTGTCAGCTGCAGACATCTCCATCCTCTGCAGTCAGGCAGGGGAAGGTGCGCAGACCTGCGATGCTGTTTGGCTGCAGGAAAAGTGGCAGAAAATGGAGATGAGCAAATTCAACCCAGGTATTTGGCAGGCAGGAAGTAGCGATCGTGTGTCCAGCACAGAGCGGATAGAAGATTTATCCGAGCGTAGCAGTTTCTCATTGCTCCTGGCTTACAGCTTGCCCCTGAGACATGCAGTCGAACGAGAAAAACAACAGAGATGTTGATTGTCTGCAACAAGCCTGAGTTGTTGATGAAATTGCAAGTGCTGGAGTGCTAGTTTAGATGTTCTGAGAAGATTTGCTCAGGGATTCAAAGGCTGTGGTCTCACACTCGCAGGCATTTGATTAGGTATACATTACTGAAAGTGTAATTTTGTCTGTGGAGCCTTTGGAACCGATTGTAAAGCTTCAGGAGGCAAAAACTAGTCTGACAGGGAGTCCAAGATGAATTTATACAGCTGCCAGGAAGGAAAGTTTCTTTAAAAACTGAGCAGCTCGGGTTTGGAAGTCCTTGAAAAAGAAACATGGGAAAAGATTCTCATCTCAGATGCAGTGAGCTGTTTCTAATAATACGATGCCACTGTTATTTTGCAGGTGTCTCCTATCTTTCCTTGGTGTATTTGTAATTGCAAGAAATAAAAAAGAGGAGCATTTACAAGTTCCTTATATTGACTGTGGACGTATTCCTGGTAAGTAGGGCTTTTTTTTTTTTTTTTTTCTGTCTCTCTGTTTAAAAATGAGATATCAGATAATGGAATGACCTGGGAGAGTTGAGTCAGAAATGTGCTCTAGTTGCATTTAAAAAATATACTGTTCCCTTAATTTCTATTCCTGTTCCCAACAGATTTTTCAAAGAATTTTTCAGAGTTTTTCCAAGCTATTGTTACAACCAGTCAAATGAAAACAATGATTACTGGAGCAAGGAATGTTTAAATGATGGATTGGTGGGGGATTTGTTTTATTAAAATTCTTCACAGAGTTGTTGTTTTTCCCTTCTCTCACCCCATTTCCTTAGGACAAAAATTGACAGGCAAAATACAACCAGATTCTTATAGTTCATGCTATGGCACTTTGAATAATGAAGATGACTCGGTGAAAACTCAGAGCTGAAAGAAGAAAGCACCTTACCTTCCACTTAATGAGAGGAACAGCACTGGAACAAGAATTAGCAGCACCTTTTCATTGGACATATTCGAGTCGACGTTGAATTCAATTCCTGCATGTTGATGAGTCATAGCATTATTTAATCCTACTTAATTTATCCCCTGGCTGTCCCAAATGTGGTTTGAAGATAAAGCAAGCCTTAAGAAAAACTAAATAACCGTTAATGAATCTGAATATTCTCATAGTATAAATGCCTCTTGGTGATGACTGGGGATATTTTTAGAGTTTTAATTGCCTAGAAATGCAAATAGGTGCATAAAAGGGTTTTAAAATTTGCTTTTGAAAACCCCCAGATGTGCACAGATGCTTAAAGACAAAGATGGGAAATGAGGAGGATTTTCATAAGAGACTTCAAAGTGTTCTGCTGTATGTCTACTACCTTTAAAAATCTGATCCTTCCTGTCCGTGAGTCCAAAATGTAGGCATATATGCAGTATGCCTAAACATGTATATACATTTTTATTATGTGCGGAGGGAAAATCATGATTATCTTCTGCCATCAGACATTCTCTTACCTTCAAAGGCAATAAACACTTGTGTGAGAAGAGGGAAGGACAAGAACATTTGTCACAAACATGAGCACAAGCACACATGCACGCATTTGTGAGGCGCCCAGCCAAAACAGAGCTGGGGAACCTCGTGTGACATTTTACATCCCCCCTATGCCTTGTGCACTGGGCTGTACTATATATTAATACACCCTAGTCCAAGGTTTAGCCACTGTTTTCAGGAAAAGGGGGTTTTAATGAAGGAAGTGCAAAGTTCTGTAGAGGAAATGGGGGATCCAGGCTCCCTCTGTTGATTCATCTTGAAAATTATTCCTAAAATAGCAAAGTAGGGCAAATCCCACCTCCTTGCTAAACCAATGGTTATCCTGCATGAGGAAAGGCTGTAAAAAACAGGGTCACAAGAGTCCCAGCACATTTTTTCCTTCATTAAATGGTAATTTCTCTCTACACTCATTTGGAAAGCTGGCAGCGATAGGGACCATAGCAGAAGTGGTTGAGTCTGGGAGGTCACAACATCCTTCAGCCCCAGCCTCCTGGAAAAAAAGCTGCTTCTGAGCATTAGTTGTGGGTCCATTCACCCCTGCCTGCTGACACTGATGTACCTCAGCCAGCACATCAATGCTCAGACACCTCCACTGCAGAAACAAAGTGCTCTTGATAAGCATTTGGTACTAAACCTTCAAGTCTTGGACAAGATAATTCCTTTGTGTTTGGATTGATCTGCTGTAATGGATAAGGGCCACAGGCTGTGTGCATTTTGTTTCAGTGGGATATGATGAAACGGGCTCTCTCTTTGTTTTGTTTTGTTTTTGTTTAGTGTAGTTTATTATTATTTCATTTTTAAATGGTATTTTAAATGGTTCAGTCAAGGAACCACAGGACAGTTTGACTTCAAGCAAAGTGCACACAGAGATGTATTTTCTCCTGTGCAGTGATGTCCTGGCAGCCAGGGCTTGGGGGACTTGTGAAGTGTTTTTTCAGCATGGATCTTTTCCAGCTGGCACAGTACAAGACTCAGGGTCTGCACCTTGCTTGTACCAGCTGCCTGCCCGTGGCCTTCCTTTACCCTCTTACAGTTTGAGTTCAAGTTTCTAAAGCTTAAAATGCAAAACACACCTGATTATGTATGCTTTCTCCAGGGAATAAGGGCCTGTCTGTATGCCCTCTATGCCACTTGCCTCTTGCAAGTCAAATTTAAGCCACTTTCTAATTCTCAAGTGAGACCATGTGCTAAAGGTGGAAATTGGATGCCTGTAGTTTTTCATTCCATGACCTGGGAAATAAAAGTGGGGTGGTGGGAGAAAGGATTTGGTTTTGTTTCTTTTTTAAATTGTTGGCCTTGGGCTTCTTTCTGAAATCCGTCTCCATGATTTAGGAGAGCTGAAAGAAATTATAAGGTCTATCAGGTGTAGGAATTTCTTTTCAAAGCAGGAAATGGAATGCAAAAATCTATGGCAAAAGTTATTATTTATTTCAAGCTACCCTATTTCTTCTCAAGCAACACTTCCTTTCATCCTATAGGTTTATACAAAAATTGAAGGGTTAAAATGTTTTCTGTGAACTTGAATGTAATTAAAAATAATTTATAGAGCAAAACACTGGCAGGAATTATGTGCAATTAAAACTTGTGATTTGACAGAATTTTTGAGATGTGAGCATGTTCCAACAAATTAACATATCACAGGGTCAGAGGAACGTGGTGATGAGAATTTATTACTGCTCTCCAAAGAAAGGGACATGATTTGTTTCAAGAATCAGTTTCTAATCAATGCCATTTTCAGATTTTGCTTGTGACACTTTGGTGATAAGCAGCACAGACAAATGCTTATTAAAAAAAAAAAAAATGTTTCACTGGAACAGAGAAAAGTCCTTGGAAGCCTTCTCTTTACCAGTGAGCTATTTTCTCGCAGTGTTTTTCCTGACATCATATACATGGGCCAGATACAAACTGTGAAGCTTGCACCTGCAGACTGAGCTTTCTCGAGCAGATGCTCCGTGGGATCTGAGGAAATAATGCTGAAGGAAGGCATGCAGGACAGTCAGCATCTCACGTGGTCTCAGCTGGCTCCAGCCTGGGATTTCTGACAGACCAGAACCAGCAGGACTCACTTTGTGCTTGTTCCACTGCTGGTCAGGCTGCAGTAAAAGATGAAGTATTAGCTGGCCACAGGCCTGGAAATGGGAACTCTGGAGTACAGCTAGGCAGTTATTTTCTTTTGTGATAAAATATCAAGATGCTTTTTACCAAGTGTTTTCAACTAGCAAGAAATAGTTTAATCTTGGACTGGATTCATACATCTGCCAATGGCAGGAGCCTGGCATTCAGCTGGCAGGCTTAGGGCCTGCTCCTCGCTACCATCCGGCTTCTGATGGCCTCAGCTTTTGCACTGGTCACCCAAAACCAAGGAAGGGAGGTCAGCCTTCATAGAGGCTTGAGTTTCTGTGCTTTGAAGGTGTGGTTACATGTACCTGATGAGCTGTTTGGATGGTTCAACGCTGCTAAAACCTCACCCCCTGGTTGTGAGGTCCTCCTCAGCTGATGGCTCACTGTGCACCCCACAAAAACCATCTCATTTATTTCTTCTGCTGTGTTGGCTCTCTGAGAGTTATCAAACTGGGCTGCCCCAGAGCAGAGGCTGACTTGGACATTTGGTGAAAACACAAAGACCTGGGCCAGACTCACAGGGCTGTGGGTGGTAAGCACTGAGTGGCTCCATGTGGGACTCAGATGGGCAGCCTGAGGTGCAAGGAGGGGCCTAGAGTTGGTGAGGAGCACAGACATGCATCTACACAACCTGTGATTAGGACTGATTTTTTTTCTCTCCAGTTTGCATATAAACCATGCTGCAAGGACAGACTGGGACCAAATGTCCTCACTTCTGACCTCAAAATGTTCTCCCCTTGCACTTTTCCCTCCCAACTCACTTCTTGAAAGGTCGCTTGCAGAGAAACCTCTGATAACACTGGGGTGCAAATGATTAGGCAGAGCTGTCTTTCAGCTTGCCCTTTTGCGCTTGTCCTCTGAGGCTTGGCCTTTTTCTTGTTTAAATTTTTTTGTTTGTTTATCCCTTTTGGAGAAATCAGCTGGTCTGTGTTAGGAACTGGCCCAAAGGAGATAGAGGCTAATTACCATAATTATTATTGGAGGGCCAAGTTGGAATTTGTACAACCTGAGGTTGTTTGAGGAGAAAAAGGTAGAGAAAAGCCTAGCTCTGGATTCGCAGGAGCTTGAGAAATCCTGTGTTTGCAATGTTTCTGGGCTCTGGGGCAGAATTAGGGACATCAGTGAATAAACAGTGATTCCATACATTTTTATATGTGTTTTTAAGGTGTGTTTTTTTTGTCTTTTTTTTTTTTTTTTTAATTTGGAAGTGAAGGATGGCCATTCTCTGCCTAGAGAAGCAAAGAGAAAATAAGCCACTCCCTTGGCAGATGGGAGATGTTTCAACTTTTTGGAGCTGGAAGAAGCACGGAGGCACCTTCCAAGCTCCCTGGCTGTAATAGCCATTCAGTTGTAACATACAGAAGGGCAGCGCTGGCAAATAACACCACTATACAGTAAGCAGTCGTGACTGTTTAGAAAGGATCTTTGTCCTTTTGTCATGTGTTAAACCTGTTCAGAGGACATGTAGCTGATCTGGCTTCTTCAGCTGCACATAAACATATTTTTGAAACATGCTGAGCTAGTCTACAGGGTCTGGGCCCCTTGAGTATCCTATTGATGCCTCTTTGGCAGGCCCTGTCTCCCATGCAGAGCTCTTGCCAGGTCCTCACTGTGTGGAAATCAGACTATGTGGTGGACACATACCACAGGCTTACTCAGTAAGAAGATAAAGTATTGTCAGGATGTTTCCCTTGACGTAAGAAGTGTTTATACCTACAAGGATATTGTGCAAAACTACAGATTTGGATTACATTCCCTTTACTTCGTGATTCCCACCAAAGTATGCAAGGTCAGTTCTAGGTATCTGCAGGAGCAGAACTGTCACCTCAGGAACTTCAGGCTCAATAGATGAGACCCTGTGTAAAGAGTTAGGTGTCTGCTCAGTAGGTTTCTTATTTGATCTACATCCCAGTTTTGCAGTTAGGACCCTAAAGTTAGCCCAAGCCTTTGAGGGAGAAAGTGCACCTAATATTATAAGACCTGCAGTAACATTTTGATTGCTGATGGACTTGGCCATTGGTGCCAGGGGAACTTGTGTCATTTCACAAGGTAATGATGAGGGGGGACGGTGTTGTGCAGCAGAATCGGAAATGTACTGAAGTGGCAGGAAACTTTTGCATGGACACAGAGGAACGAAATCAGGAGACTGGTAAGCTACTGTGGCCTCCTGGGCTGCTTGTTGACAGTGTCAACAAGGCGAATGTTGACAGTTTTCAGAGCAGAGCTACTGTAAAAGAATGACCAGGCAGGTGGCTTAAACACGGACTGTTTAACGTGAAGTTAATGTATCACTGCAGCCCGCGGCACTAATACCTTAAACATGAAAAGTGGCCTGTGGCCATTGATGAAGGAGCCAATTTCTGTATTTTGCTAGGTCACACTGGGGAAAATGGAAATGATTGATTTAAGCCTCCAGCACAAACATGGACTTGCCAGATCTCCAGTTGGAGATTTCCACTCTTGGAATAGGCATTGCCTTGCCTAGATGAAATCTTTGGAGCCTGCTGCCAGGTCTTTTGCCAGAATAATTAAATGGGTTGAAAGAACAGCACTGTCATTTGTCTTCTGTTTGATAGCTAGTGGGCATACATCCAAAGCAGCACTAACACAAGATCAGGACTTTTCTCTCCATTTGAAAAAAAAAAAAGAAAAAAAAAAAAGAAAAGAAAAAGAAAAAAAAAAAGAAAAGAAAAAGAAAAAAAAAAAAGAAAAGAAAATGAAAAAAAAAGAAAAGAAAAAGAAAAAAGAAATGTTTTTCTTGAGCTTCAATAGCATGTGCACCAGGCCCAGAGCTCTATGCTGTTGAACAAACTCTGGTACACTCAGCCCAGAAGTAGAGAGAAAGCTTGCATGGCCCAGAGGCTGCTCGTTAGGCAGTTCTTACCTGTCACTGAAGGTTACTGCTGGTAATGCATCATATAGCAATAGAGTACAACAACAAAGTACTGGAGCATCCACTTTGTTTTCCAAGAACAGCTGCTCTGTGTTTTACGAGGCAAAGGAGATGAGGAATATGATTTAATATTACTAAGCATCACAGTTACCCATGTGTTTATTTTTTCCAGACAATATTTAACAGTTAACCAACAGCCATGTGCTGAAAACACTGGCTGGGTCCTGAGAGCATGGATGTGTGGCAGGATTCGATGCCGTATGATTAAGGGCAGGCTGCTGATACAAGAAGGCAGGTTGGTGTCATCTCTCCTGGCCTCCTGCACAGCTCCGGCCAGGCAGCCTTCTCCAAGCACTTCTGTGTAAGCCCCTTGGCCCACCTACAGAAGAAGGCACACCGACCTCTCCTGTGAGTCAAAGGAGAGGATCCACCAATGCCATTAGCAATGTGTACTAGCAATGAGTCATTGTTTGCTTTTGAACTGTGCCTTATGTCTATTTTAAAGTGTCTGGATCTCTCTCGCAGCTATTTGTCTTTCACCGGTGATTTAAAGCACTCGGTAAGTCCCTCTAGTAAAATACAGTAAGATGACTTGGGCTTTTTGCTAAGCCAAACAGACAGACCTTTTAAGTCTCTCACCATCAGACATTTTGGTCAGCCCTCAAGTTGCTTTCTGTGGTGGTTTTCTGCTCTATCTCCATTTTTCCAGTGTCGAAAATTGGCTTTATGAGTGCCAAAGACCGAGTAAAAATCTGATCTTAGCACCGCTGAGGAAGTAGCACAGAGCTGGGCCAGAGCCAAAATGCAGTGGTCAGGGTGCCTGGCTTCCCCTCTTCCCAAAGCTGAGCCCAGCCCAGCTGCCACCTCTCCCAGGAGGTGCCTGAATATTTTATTTTTTCACTGTGATTTAACAGTGGCTGTTTTGCATGCCCAGGGATACAGCAGCCTAGATAGTTTTCAGCAATTTGACTTCTGACTCATTCCTGAGATCAGTGATGGTCCAAAGAGGTCCCCGGGAGGCTCAGCACAGCTGGAAACCCTGAAACCAAGTGGCCAACGGATGGACACAGCTGTGGTGGCACAGAGAAGGAGAAAAATTGAATGGTTTGGGTTGGAAGGGACCCTTGAATCCAACCCCTGCCGTGGGGTTGGGGTGCAGTAAGTAAATAGGCTCTGGATGTGGGGACACCCTGCCCAGATAAATTGCTCTTGCCTCAAGGATGGTGACAGCTCACCAGAGAGAGTGAGTGCTTATATTTGTGATACACAACAGAAAGGCTTTGGCCCCCTTTGCCCCTTGCTGCTCAGTCTTGAAGCAAGGTTGCATTTTGAAAGGAGCAGCTTGGGCATCTCCTCTCCAAGAGGAGGGCGTGAGCACCTGATAACCCCAAATGGGGCATCCAAACCCCAAAGGGCAGTAGGAGGCGAGTGCCAGCCCCAGCTTCTTTGGCTGATTTGGGGAACCAGCAATCACTCAGGCTTCAGTTGTCCCTCCTCTAAGTGCCTCCTGCTTCTGGATGCCAGCACAGGAAAGGGGACACCTCCAGCCCTTTTTGAAATCTAGGTTTTGGTATGGAGAAGAAATGCATTCATGTTAGAGAGAATTTTTGGATGGATTTATCACTTAGTCCTGTGTTACACTGCAGAGCAGGCACAGCTATTTTGCTGATACCCTTGCACTGTGAATGGTTTGAATTCAGTGTTTTGAGGTATTTGATTTTTGGTTGTCTTTTGTTTATTTGTTCGTTTGGGTTTTTAGTAATTTAAAATGAACAAATCAGTAAAGTCACCTCAATTAACCCAAGGTAATCTGTGGTGGAATTCTTCA